GTCTTTTGCCATTATTCTTTTTCTTTTCTTTTTTTTTGGTATTTCTTGTACTTTTAAGAAATGAGGACTTGAGTTAAAAGTTATACCTCTGCCATTCAACTTTATGAATGGTCAACTCTTGGCAGGCTGTTGCAGAGGGAAGGGCTATATACAATAACACAAAGCATTTATCAGATATATGATCTCTTCAAATATCGGTGAAGTAGTTTGTATATTCGTGGCAGCTGTACTTGGCATACCTGATACCCTTGCCCCTGTAAGTTCATTTAATGTTCAGATTTTGACCTTTCATTTTCCAACTCATTCTATGTGAGAACAGTAATGTCTTCTGCTTCTTTTACTTTCATTTCCTAGGTTTAGTTAGACCTTTTGCATACATATTAGTTGATGAGCCTGTTTGTTTGTTGTATTTTCATAATACTTTATGAAAACTTTTTCCAGGTCCAGCTGCTGTGGGTCAACTTAGTTACTGATGGATTGCCTGCCACTGCTATTGGTTTTAATAAGCAAGATTCTGATGTGATGAAGGCTAAACCTCGTAAGGTATTGCATTAATTTAATCTGCTATTGCAACCGTCCAATTTTAGTTGTGTCTGCACTCCATGCACTCAACGTTAGAACTTTGAGTTTTTCATGGACTTGTCTCCATTTGCTAGTGAAGAATTATAGTAATTGGACAGTTTTGTTTTGTTTTCTTTCATTAACTGTATGTATGTTTTATGATCTCATGATGATATTATCTTAATCTCATAAAACTATTCTTTTGTGGTTGAAAGAATCCAATTTTCAGCATAACATCACTTTAACTTCTGTTTGTGTGCAGGTCAATGAAGCAGTTGTTAGTGGGTGGTTGTTTTTTCGTTATTTGGTAATCGGAGGTATGCATAAATCACATTTGACATGGCTCCTAGTGATGTTGATGCCGATTACATTTCATTTACTTCCTGTCAACCTTCTAAAACAGCACACGAGGACTGCTCTACATTAATAAATATAATGAAAAATTGTAAAGCCTTATAAACTGTAGGCCTTATAAATATTCTTTTGAATCCATCTTTGAGTCACTTTTTGATTAGTTTATTGTCTCAGGCTTGATAAATATGCAAATGTCTCACATTCATAAGCCAACTTTTGAACGAAAAGTATTGGGATCACTTACTGAATGACCTTTCGTTCCCTACTTTTTTCTTGGTTGCATTTTTTTTCCGTATGAATTAATACAAAATAGGACTCTGTGGGTTCACAATCTTGTTTTTCATAATTATATGTTGCAATATCCAGAATTAATGCTGGCGATTAGTTAAGAACTAAGACATAACATGAAACCATTTACAGTTTTTCTATAAATCTTTTTACCTTGGTGAATCTCTAAAGTGAAATTTTTAATTGCTGTCTTTCTTATATAAATTATTGGTGAACTGGATAACAAATCGCTAGGGTAGTAGCAGGTTAATAATCAGTAATTCAGTTACTGTACATGTGTTTGTTTATTTTCATTCAACTTCCAATGAAGGTTTATGAATTTCAGCTTATGTTGGGCTCGCCACAGTTGCGGGATTTATTTGGTGGTTTCTTTACTCTGATAGTGGTCCTAAACTGCCGTATTCTGAATTGGTAAGATTCTACGGACTGAAGTCCCACATTGTTTTAAATTATTGTTAGAGCTCTTTTGTGACCAAGAGTCAAAGTAAATGGAGGAATTCTTCAGGCTGTTCACTGGTTTCTGTGGTTTTGATTACAATTTTTTTAATTATTACCTCGGTATAGAAAGGTGTGTAGATAATATCCTTTGTTATGTTTAATTTGTAGTTTTTCATTTTCTTAGTTATTTTGTTTCAGATGAACTTTGACTCATGCTCAACAAGGGAGACAACTTATCCATGCAGTATATTTGATGATCGCCATCCATCAACAGTGTCCATGACTGTGCTTGTGGTTGTTGAAATGTTCAATGCCTTGAATAATCTCAGCGAAAATCAGTCTCTTCTGTAAGTATATACTTCGATATTTATAGTATTACAATTTTCTTCTGATATTTAAATAAGAACCTGTTGCTGCAACTCATTTGATTTATCGGATTGAAAGCATGTAAAATTTGTTATTAGTCCTGCTTTGTATATTGTCTTGTTCCGTTAAGGTAGTAAATAGTATGGCAGTGTTCTTGTAGCTTTTTTAATATTTCGCAATTTTCACTGTTGACTGGTTTATCCTTGTTCTCTTATAGTTGTTATGGCAACCATTCAGGGTACTTGTCCTTGCTTTGTATATTGTCTTGTTCCTAGGTACTATTCAGCTGGCTAGATACTGAGACAAACATCTTGAAAGATTTTATTCCCGTACCATTGATATATGAATTATTGCAACATAATATATGTTTGATTGTTTCTGGGTAGTTGTAGATTAGACTTACTTTAGCACTGACTTTCTGTGGTTTCCAGGGTTATCCCTCCGTGGAGTAACTTGTGGCTAGTTGGTTCAATCATTCTAACGATGATCCTTCATGTGCTAATATTATATGTCCATCCACTCTCTGTTCTTTTCTCTGTAAGTAGTTTCGTGTACTTGTGCTTGTGATTGATGGTTTCTGTTGTCCTTTTTAATTTTATAGAAATGAACATAATTAATGGTCTCGTAATATTTTCTGCTGTAGGTAACACCATTATCTTGGTCTGAGTGGACGGTTGTGTTATACCTTTCATTTCCTGTATGTGGCTTACCCTCTCATAGTCCTTTTTTGTGATTCCGTTTTTTGACTATTATTAAGATGACAATTTCTCTTACGATTGGAATATAATACTTTTCAGCTATAAAATGCATGATCTATGTGAGACATTTTCTCTTAAATTTTAGCTCTTAAATTAAGGCATTAATAGCGTGGATGTGCTGGATTAACATTTCTTACATAAAAATTTTGTGTGGGTAAATAACTAATGATTTCTTTCCTTTTTATTACATGTATAATCAGAATATTGCTTTGGGAAGTTGAAAAATGTTATCAAATTCGTGTGTTAAGAAGTGACAGTTTGTCTCTTAATGCAAATAAAGCATTATAAAGATTTAAAATTCATAGAAACTTACACATGGTGGGCTGTAAATGTGTTACTTTAGTAAGCTAAGCAATAATTCTGTCTGGAAATGATACATCATTACTGCCTTTGGCAGCTAGTCTTTGTCAACACTCATTCATGCTTCATTCATTATCTGATTTAGGTTATTATCATCGATGAAGTGCTAAAGTTCTTCTCAAGAAGTTCCACAGGTAAAATCTTTGTCCTTTTCATGAAGTCTCATCATTTTCATCTCAACGCAATGCATGTATGACTAATGCTAACTCGCGTTGGGTTCGAGAAACAATATTTCCCGCTTATAAATTTCGGGGGCTGTTGCTTTTGTATGTAGGTATACGGTGGTTCAGTTTCCGGTGGAGGCGGCCCGATTCACTGCCAAAAAAGGAATTGCATGAGAAATAGAAATGGAGATTTATGCGACCCAATTTTTTGAGAAACCAACACTGGAGGAGACAAACTCCTTATTGTGAAAAGCCTATATGTTTGACATATCCTTCAAGAGATAAGGAGGAGCCGTGCGTTCATAATGAATTCAAATGCTTCCTCAAGATATAGGAATGGATAGCGTTGTAATTTTATAGGTACTATTTTACCCTCATTTGGATATTCTGTATACAAATTACCTGGCGAAGAGCGCCATTAAATGAAGGAAAAGTTCCCAAAAACAAATACAAAAGACGGCCCTCTGGTTATTTTGGGTCTTATATCATTAAGTTATTTTTGTTAAACATGTTTTCTTTCTCATGGTGGTGGGTTTTGTTTCTTATAAAACCATCTTATGAAACATTTATTTCTAATGTTAATGTCGTTAAGATGGAATAAATTTTGTCAAATGTAAAACCTTGATCAGCAACCTTGTTGCTTTCTTTGATGGTAACACTATCGTAAATTTGTAATTGACCGGAATATATATATATATATATATATATATATTTAAGGCTTGCAATCACAGCTGTGAAGTTGGAGATGGTTAAAGAGGTTCCTCAGGTATCCACCTTTTATATATGGTCAAGCCTTCTTCACGCTTGTACTCAGGAGCTGTGCGCCCTGCACCCCGCATACAAATTATAAGTTATAACCAGACAAGAATACAAAAAATTATGAAGTTCCAATTGAATCATGATCTTCCTGTGACTGTTGATTGGAAGAGCAGAAAACTGAAACAAATGTTCTTGCCTTAACGGTAGCATATGTCATCCAATTTGAATAAGTTCTCGTATAACTACATCCCAAAGCAACAATTAAATTTTCCGTTAGCTCATTGGATCATCAAGCTCAATCCCAATTTTAAAAAATTGCAAGTACTTCTTACCCTGCAATTTGACCTTGCACAAGCCATGGTCTCCAGTCATCAATAATGGAATAATTTAAAGATTATATCCATGCTTGTGTAGCTATGAATGGCACCAGCATGTCATGTGGTCTCCACTGAAATTAGTGAAATCAAATATAAATTTATGTGTATGTGTGTGTGTGTGTGTATATATATGTATTTCAAAATTAAGGTAGGTAAACTCCTATTGTACTGCTCTATTTCAAAATTCAGTGGACCTACAAATGAAGAGGACCAATGAGTTGCTGTTGTGAAAGTATCAAGTTACAACTTAGCCTAGCCCCTATGGAATGGAAGAAAGACTAATTGCTAAATTTTAGTATCAAAATGCGATGACTTTCTGATTCTCTTTCTTTATGACCAAAATATTAGCAAGCAAAGAATATGTTGGTTGTGAATAAAGTGTTAACTATTTCATACAGAAGGGCAGTCACCGAAGAGCAACCAGGTCCACCAGTTAGCCAAAGCATTAGAGGATCCTCTTCTGCCTTCCTCTCTGACTTGACAAAGTAGTAGAAGAGCTGCACCTCCTCTGCTTCCCCCGCTCCCACTTACCTAGCAATTCACATAAATGTATGTTTACGTATGTACAGTTATTTATGTTGTCGGGTAAATGCTTAATTTATGCCGGCCGACTCTGATAATCTAGACCACACATTCTGACAAAAATCAACATGAACATTTTCCCCATATATATGCAGTCAGCACTAACGCTAACTGCTATTTGGCTGCAACATAGACGAATATAAATACCCAGTTTCGAGTTCGAAAGGAAGAGGTCCATGGATTCCGGGAAGTGACTTAACGAGTGAGGGAGAGCCTGCTAGCAGCTGTGAGCAAAGCTGTGAAGAAACCAGAAGTAGAAGTAGAAGCAGCATACCATGGCAAAGAGAAGAAAGCCTTGCCCTGGGATTTGATGTTAGCATTGGCCCTTGGTTCTACTACTTTTATTACTGTACAATCAAGGTTTATGCTTGTATGTATATGGAGGACATGGAGCTCAACGTGCGGTCTTATTGTGAATACAATGGCTTAAAGTTTGGGGTTAGGGGATACGTCGACTGAAAAGTTGGTCGGCTGGGATAATAATAAGAGCCACGACAAAATGGTTGAATTACCAGGGACAAGAAAAACTAAGTCCTTTTTTCACAATTTTGTTAATTTTTGTTAATTTTCTTCCATATTCGATTGTAGTTAAAACTCAAAATCGTAAAACGAAAATTTCCATTTCTTTCTATAAGCTATTGTTATTTCTAGGGACAATAATATGAGGATGGATAAACACCCTAATTAATTTTCCTTTTCTTTCTTGTACCTTCATCAATTCTCTCTCACTACTTACTCTACATCATACACAATTCATAAATCACTATCAGATATTGTTTACAAGAATCAACAGCCACTCCATATTCAGAGTAGAAGCCAAAAATATTGGCGACCATTTTGCATTGCTGCACCGGCAGCCTCAACTTTTCTCATTCTCGACTTTCTCAACTTTGAGTTTCTTTGTCATACGTCCAAAGATGTTTGTGTAGAGCTTAGCATCCCTCTTGTTGCTTTCAACTTGTAGTCGTTTCAAATTCTTCTCAATCAACTTGACCTCCCTGTAAAATTGGAAAATAAATACAATTTTCCACGGAGCACAGAAGACTTCAAAACAAATTGTGCATATGGATTAAGAAAATCGGTTTTTTTCAGTTACCTGTTCTGAGGATCAACCTCAAGAGCTTTCTTAATGTCTAATTCGGCCAAGACCAAATCTGCAACTTGCATATATGCTTGTGCCCGTCTGTACAAGGCCTTTACATTATGGAACTCGATATCTAGTACCTGTGGAGGATCACAACATAGAAAATATGATGAGATTTGCCCTAATATTTTTTCCCCAAAACGTTGAGACATGTTGAATGATGAAAGCATGTGAATGTTAGAAGACGCAGAAACTTCATCCATCAGTTTTTTGGGTACAGCTTACCTTTGAACATAACTTGATTGCTTCCTGAAAGTCATTTAGTTTTAAGCTACATGCTGCACCATTCAACCAGAAAGACAGTCTAAGTTCTCTTGCTAGCTTTGACTCATCGTCCCCAAAGTTACCATCTTCACTAACATAGTCAGCACCCTGAAATAAGAGGAAAGCAACAGACAAATATGAAGTTGATTAAAATAGAACCAACATAAGGTCCATTCGGGAGTCCAAATTGCACTATGTTACCTTATCATACTTTTTTCCTGCTTTCTGATACTTCCCCTCTTTAAAGAGAAGGTTGCCTTCCTCTTTCTTCCTTCTGGCTGCCTCAAGTCGCTCATGATTAATCATTTCCCATGGTGCTTTCTCCTTTTCATAAAAGAGAAGTGAAGAGTGATAATTAAGAAAGTAATTGTAGTAGCGCTTGAAACTTTGTAGTTGTGAGAGAAAAATAGGAAATTTGTGCCTTCTAGCGTCATTACAAATATATTGGAAAAGTACTGTTTCAAATCCCACAGTTTCATCAAAATGATCATTACCCTGATAAAATCTAGCATTTCAACTTCAAAGACGATATTTGAATGTGGTGGAACTACAGCCAGGTCCCGCCTTGCTTCAACGCTTCCAAATCCAAAATCAGGATGTATAGTCAATATTGCCTGTTCTCCCTTCTTCATTGTTGCAACTGCTCGGTCTAAACCAGCAATCACTTGTTCTGTAGATAGTAAGATGCAAATATCAGCCAGAAATCCTTTTGAGCTTTCTTCTTGATTATCAGACAAAAAGATGCCGAGAGAGAGAGAGAGAGAATGAAACAATGAACTTGGAGTAACTGACCTTCGTCGGTGATAAATTCCAAAGGCTGCTCTCCATCTATTCCTTTTTTCTCAAAGACAGTGCCATCTTCAAGCCTAGCTATATAGCTAACTGCAGCAGTTGGAGATGTACAGAAATGTTTAAATTAACTAGTAGAATGGTACGATATCACAGGTTCATTATGTATTCCAAAAATTACTTACTATGACATTCAATAATAGTTGGTAAACCATCAGATAGAAGTTTTTTTTATTAGTTACACAATTGGGGAGGGGGAATATCAACTTGGGACCTCCTTTTTAGAAAATAGGTGTGACTATCAATTGGGCTATCCTGAAGGCCTGTAGATATTTGATATCAATGCCTGTGCATGAATGAAAGAACCTTTTCTTCTCGGAATAAATATGAAACAGACGAACATTTTTTGTAATTAACTACAAATTATCATTGAATGTGTATAATTTAACAAAATATTACCTCGCATTCTACATATGCTTGACATTTCTAATTGCTTTCAAGATCAGGTAAACTTTTACCTCCAGGTACTTCCTAACTGATTCTAGTAATATTGCTAAAATAATGCACATCTCAACAAACTTACCAGTAACACTTGCACTTTCATTAGCAACCCACGCACCTTCCCCTTCTTTCAAGACCTTCTTTATTACCTTGGCATCACCAGTAACATCAATAACAGGCTTGAAAGACACCAACTCCAGATCAATGTTCAGCACAGAACTTGGAGGGACAGAATGAAACCCATTGTTTGCATCCCTCCCCTCCACACCAAAGGCATCTACAATTATTTATCAACTTTCATCGTCAGACGATTCAATTTTTTCCTTTTTGCCAGACATAGCAGTTTGATAACAAGGATCCAAAGACATACACTGGGGTTGAACAATTAATCTGACCTTCTCTCCCCTTTTCATTGTCTTGATTGCTTTTGGCAATGCTGAACAAAAATGACCTGAAACAAACACAAACCCCACGTTATTCAATTATCACAAATTGGTATAATCACAAAGGAATTGCCTTTCCCCATTAAAATCACATCAGATTAAAACAAAAAAAGAAAATACCATCTTTCACATAGAATTCAATTCCTTCTTCTGGAGTCTCTGCAACAACGGTACCATCAACCAACGCCACCCGATACTTGACTGCATTAACAACAAAATTCCAATAAAAACATCAAAATTGATGTTGACGGAACTGTAATTACATGCTAACACAATATAATAACCAATAAAGAACTCAAATTGATTAGATAATGAGGCATCAGAGTACCAAGAACTTCATCCAAATCACCAGGCCGCTCATTCCTCTCTCCTTTCTCGATAATTTTCTTCACAATCCCACCATCTTTGCTCAAATCCACCACTGTGATCCACGAAACGAGTTCGACTTCGAATCGAACAATAGCATTGGACGGCACAACAGAGCCACCCCCACCAACAACACCATAGCCCAGCTCAGCAGGCAATGTGAACAATGCAATCTCTCCCTTCTTCATAGAGACGACGCCATGGTCCAAACCCTTCACCACTCGACCCTGACCGAGCTTAATGGTGAGAGGCTCGTCTCTGTCTCTGGTCGACTCGAACTTCGTCCCATCAAGCAGAGTTCCAACGTAGTGCACTAAATTCAAATTCCCACACTCAATGTCTCTAAAATTATAATATAATTAAATAAACAATAAATAATTAAAAATTATGAGCTGGCACTTTACCAGTGGCTTCGTCACCGAGCTCGGGGGTTTCGTAGCCATGGCCGCGCTTGAGAAGCTTCTTCTTGAGACCAGAGGTACCGAGCTCTCTCTCTTCGCCGACTTTGAGAGGCGGCGCTGATTCGATCACCTCGCCGGGCTCCTCGTCGAGCTCGTCCTCGTTCTGAATGTCTGACACGTCTGTGGCTTTCCCGGCCTCCATGGTGCAATCGGAACTCCAAGCGACGGTAGCACGGAAGCTGTGATTTTTCGGTGGGTGAGATTAAATTAGAGTCAGGGGATGAGCCGACGAGGCTCGGCCAGTATAGCCGGGCGGATATACTCTGTAAATATATTCAAATATTTAAATAGTTGAAAATTTCCGAATATCAATAAATTGGAATATTTAAATAGTCTCGCCGAACGGCTATACTGTATTCGAATATATAAATAGTCTCGCCGCGCAGCTGTACTCTGTAAATACATTCAAATATTTAAATAGTATAGCCGGCGGCTGTACTGTATTCGAATATTTAAACAATATAGTCGTACGCCTATACTGTAAATATATTTGAATATTTAAATAGTATAGCCGATCGGCTATACACTTTGAATGATTTTGAATCTTTAAACAATCTAGCCGATCGGCTATACGCTTTTAATAAATTGGAATATTTAAATAGTATAGCGAACGGCTATATGCTTTGAATGATTTCGAATATTTAAATTAGTATAGAGTATAGTCGTGCGGCTATACTCTTTTTATAAAAAATCGAATATTTAAATAGTATATGCTTTCAATAAATTGGAATATTAAAATAGTATAGCCGAGCGGCTATCCTGTTCGAATATATTTGAATATTTAAATCATATAGCCGGGCGGCTGTACACTGTAAATATATTCCAATATTTAAATAGTATAGCCGCCTAGCTATACGCTTTGAATGATTTCGAATATTTAAATTAATATAGAGTATAGCCGGTCGGCAATACGCTTTCAGTAAATTGGAATATTTAAATAGTATAGCCGGTCGGCTATACGGTTTGAATATATTCGAGTATCTAAATCGTATAGCCGGTTGACTGTACTCTAATATATTCGAATATTTAAATAGTATAGCCGGTCTGCTATACGCTTTGAATAAATTTGAATAGTTAAACAGTATAGCCGTGCGGCTATACAGTTTGAATATATTCCAATATTTAAATAATATAGCCACCCGGCTATATGGTTTAAATATATTCGAATATTTTTTTATTTTAATAAATTGGAATATGACTATTTTATTTTATTTTATTTTAAAAAAAATTGTGTTTTTAGTTTAATATTTGTAATTAAGAAATATCTTAGTCTTATTTAATTATTATTTATTTCATAAATTACTCAATATATAGTAATTAATTATTTTAAATTATTTTTTGTACTTTATTTTTTTTAAAAAATCTTAAAATTAGTATGGTTAGTTTAATATTTGTAATTAAGTAATATCTTAGCCTTATTTAATTACTTTAATTAGTAATTATTTTTTTGTTATTATTTCTTTAGTGAATAATTAGTATTTAAATATTTTAATTAATTTCATAAATTACTTAATCCATATTATTTAATTCTTTTAAATTCTTTTATGGACTTGAAAAACTATTTGTAATTAAGAAATATGTTGCCATAAATATTGCAGTGTTAACCCATAAACTAGCCTCGCTAAGCATTAAGTTTATCTATGTGGGGGTTTCTTATTGTTCATTCATATTCTTTTGATATTTGCAGTTGTGGTAGTATCGAAGACCTTTACAACAGCTGAAACTATCTTACAGTATGGCAAAAGAAACAAAGCTATTATCCAAATTAAATCGATTTTAAAAAAGGTTAACTCTTATTTTCATATGGAACTCTAATTATATTGGGCTAATTTAATTGAAATAATCAAATTATTTTAAATCATAAATCGTGCGAATTATAAACAAAAAAACAAATCCATGTTTTTACACGTGGTGGCTGGCTCGCGACTCTGCCGGTGGGCGAAAAAGCCCATAGAATTTTTATGAAGCTTTGATTTGTTCAGTTGAATAATGTGGGCATCACCAGAAAGCTATAGAAACATTAATAAACTTTTGGTTTGTCACAAGCTAAATGATATGAGACGACTTTGAGACTAGGCTAGGCAACACAATGTTTTTAATAGAAAATTATAAATATTTTATCATATTTCTCTTCTAACGTTTTTGTTTTGTTTTTGTATGTATTTGTCGTTGTGTGTTAGGTTAGGTTGATACATAATATAGTAATTCTATATTTAGTATTACTAATCCTATTTCTTCTGCGACTTGCTAACAAACAATCATAATTATGTATCAGAAATTTTCCTATGTGAACGTTCAGATATTATTACCGTGCGGACTCAATGTATTTTCTATTATCTCTCCATGTTTTTCTCCTTATTTACAATAGCATTCGCACATTATTATTCAATGTATTTTCTATTATCTCTTCATGCTTTCCTCATTATTTATAATAGCATTCGCACAATAATAACGTGTGGATATCCTAATGAGATAATAACGGATTATGTATAACAATATTACTACCATGGTTTTTGGAATACAAGAATATCACTACCATTTTGTTATCTCACCTTTAAAAATAAAACGTACAACACCATTAAGGGCCCGTTTAAGAGTGCTTTTAGAACAGTTAAAAGCTCTTCTGACAGCGTTTGGCAGAAATGTTTAGAAACGATTTCTAGAGAAGCACCTGTCATGTGCTTCTTTAGGAAGCACTCCCAAGTAATTTTTCAAGAAGCATTTCTGTTTCTTATGAAAATTTCTACGTCTTTATAATAAAATCGCTTTTGGTAGAAGCGCTTATAAATAGAAATGCTTCCTAGAGAAGCAGTGCCAAATGAGCCATAAAAGGAAAATATTGGAATAATCTGGTACTCCATCTTGTTTTTTTTTTTTTTTTTTTTTTTTTAACATTATGTAAAAATTGTAGTATAATGTCAATTAAGCAATAACCCAAGTTTTTTTTTTTTTTTTTCTCATTATTTTGCTTGTATTTGCAGCAAAGTAGATAGGCTTTAAAAGTTGTCCTGAAACAGGATGCATATATACAAACAAACTCACTTCAAACTTTCAAACCAGGTCTAATTTCAAAACCTGAATTTTGTACAGACACTTTTCAAGTTTCAATCACATAAGAAAATGAATCAAAACCACAAGAAATTTCCCACTACAGAACGATCAGAAAGCAACACTTCTCTTTGTAACAGCATAGCTTCTGCTTCTTGGGTAGAACAAGTCGGGCTTGACATCACCAGCAGCATGTTCATCAAAATCAGCAGGCCCGTCTTCATCAATCCTGCCCATGGCCACGCTGCTACACTTGGGAAGCACAGCTTTTGATCCCATGGTGGTGGTTGTAGCAGATCGCTTCAGCTGCTGCTCTTTCAATATTGCATCCACATCAATCCTTGTTCCATAGCTCCTGGCAGAAGCAGCTCTGATAAGCTCTGAAAAATCATCACCACTGGCTTCACTCGACCCAGAAGTTGACCTAGAGCTGAAGCTTTTGGGAAGGCTCGAAGAGAACTGACCACCTGGGCCTCCCATGGTGTTGCCATAGCTCACTCTCTCAGCCACATCTGTCATGCTTCTCACATAAAAGTCCTTGGCTTTGCTCAGAGCTCTGATGGGTACTGTGATGATTCTCATGAACTTGTTTTTGTTCTCTGCTTTGGTGCTTCTCATGTTGCACAACTTTTTTATGTGACAATAAATCAAAATTGGTGATTGAGCAAAAGGGTTTCAGTGGGATTTGATTGAAATTGGGTTTATGAGGGAAATGAAAAAATGAGAGAGAGAGAGAGAGGCAGAGGTGGGCTGAGAGGCAATGTGAATATATACGGTTTTGTAGAGGGTGACCAAGAAACAACGTGGTTAAGTATGAACAAGGAGGTGGATTTAGACTTTTCAAAACCCACGAGATTAGAAAAGGCGAATAGATAAGAACAAAGAGGTGTGTGGTGTGCTAAGATTTTCCGCTTATCTAATCAGGAATGTTAACTAATTTCTCTTTTCTCTTTCTCTTTTTGCTTTTCTTATGCAGTTTATTTCACGTGTATTAAATGCAAAATATTGATATTTTACTTAAAAAGAGATTAAATAGTTTTTGATATTTTACTTAAAAAGAGATTAAATAGTTTTTGAACACATTAAATGCATAAATCTATGTACAAGTGAAATACAGGTAACATAAACTAAATGAGGAATACAAGGATTAGTGATGTGGGCTAATGCGGCTTTTAACTGTTTTAGTTTTGTTTTTAACGTGTTCATTTGTTGCCTTCTTGAAATTGGTACTTTATATATCTTTGATTGTAATGAAGTTTTTCTTTAGTATAAATAAATAAAAATTAATGAGGAACACAAGGAATGAAAAGCAAGAGGAAAAGGCGGTTTGCATTCTTAATTAATTTGAAATGATGAAGTAGGCCAAAATTAAAAGGACGGTTTAAGTTGACTGTGGGGGTTTTCCACATTTGACGTTTTATTTATTTCTATTTTTATGTTGTTGTTGTTGTTCCTCTCATCCATTTGATGAGTCATCATCTGTTGGCTTAATGGTCAAATTGCAAACCAACTACACGCTCATTTCTTGTAAAAGGAGCTTCTCTTCCATGGCAATCCTGTGTGTGTAAGTTAAAACAATGATCAACTTAATATATAAAAATTCAATCATTTTTATTTTGGTCAAAATAAAAAAATTCAGTCAATTGCTGCCACTGCAATGCAATGACTGCTATCTAAAATTATTGAACAATTGAATTAGTGTTCTCAGCTGTGAGGCCATGGCAGACATTGACTCTGTCGCACTATGAGTGCTCTTGACTGGTTTTGGTAATTTCATGAAAACAAAGACTTAGCGTGGGATAAAGTTTAGACCCAAATAAATAATAAAGGAAATTGAAAGCTGGCCAACATATATATATATATAATTTGTGGGCGCCGGTTGTATGTGTGTGTTTGGAAAAAATGATTAGGATATTGCAATTAAGTACCAATCGCATTGAACATGTTTGTAACTGGTATGGACATATAAATTTGACTTGAATAAAAAAGGTATGATGACATTTCTTGTTTGTATGTTATTTGTTTGATACAAATGATAATTTATTTTAAATTAATTTAAATTATAGGGAGAGGGATTCAAATTCATGTGCAAAGTGAGAAGAGCACATTTGCTCTATCCAACTTAACTAAGCCCACGTTTGCCTTGTTTGTATGTTAGAGCACTTCCATCCATGGTGTCATGACAAATGGCAAGGGCAAACAGTATTCATATGAATAATGACTGCCCTACTCTTTTTTATTTTGTTTTTCTCATTGTCATGCCAAGTAAAGGCAAACACTATTCATACGAGATACAAGGAGAAGAATTTATATGGAATTTTAGTGTGATAAGTGAAGAATATGACTAGGTATTTATAAGCAATGGTAGCCATGCTTGGCATCTTTGTGCAAGCTTCTATTACTCATGTAGGACCAATTGATAATCTTGTGGATCACCTATCCAACCCATGGCACAGAACCATTGTTCAGACTCTTGCTAACTCTGCTTCTTAAATGTAAATCCAAGTTGGTTTTCCGCATCAGATATAATATGATGAAATGAAATGCACATCCATTTATAAGTCCCTTCGGCTTTCCCTTCCACTTTTGAAGAAAGATTTTCCAAACATTGGTTTATGTGCCAATGATATTGTATTGTTTTAAAACCAGCATCATCTTTGGTCTTGTGTTGATTTTGCATGTTGGACATGATCACAATGTCTAAACATAGAGAAGCACAACTGAAATATTTTGAGCATGTCCATAATATCGCCACATATTACCAATCCACATGTGTAAATAAGGATAGACGACGTGGTCATGTTTTAGAAAATAATATTAATAAATAAAATATATTATAATATAGGTTAATTCTAAACACTAAATCCTAAACGCCGTTTGGAGGAGGGGAAAAAATAATGCGGAATTGAGCTAAAAGTCGGGAATATAAGAGAAGAAATTGACAATTCCCAAATTTGGCAGCTTAAGCTCATAATTTATTAAATTAGGCATGGAAAAAATTAAACCGAGACTTTTGAGCAGAAAACGGCCCAAAGTTCAATAATCTGCTTCAAAGATTTGGCCCAAATTTAAAGGCCTCAAGGCCCAACCCAGATAGGCCTTTTCTTCTTTTGGTGGGTGCATGGAAAAAAAACATGGGTGTGTTTTCAATTTATCCATTAAGGCTGCATTACGTATCTCATTTTCCACCACAAGTTTATAGCAAGCAGATGTGTACATCTACAAGCCAAGAAGATATGATAGCAAGTACAATGCAGTCAAATTTTGCTCATCACTCTGTCGCGGAGACAAGCCCAAAAGACAAGCAAAGACAAAGAGGAGCAAATTATGAAGGAGCTAGGGCTGAAACTGGTGCTGTTGGTTAGCTTGGTTTCATCAATGGCTGTGATGGTGTACACGTGTCAGGCAGGCGGCAACCTGTACCCTCTGATCCTCATACCTGGGAATGGCGGGAACCAGCTGGAAGCCCGGCTAACCAGCAAGTACAAGCCCTCTAGTCTGCTGTGCAGCCGTTGGTACCCATTTCAGAGGAAGAAGGACGGCTGGTTCAGGCTCTGGTTCGACCCGAGTGTCCTCTTGGCTCCTTTCACCTCCTGCTTTGCTGAGCGCATGACGCTTTATTATGACCCTGATTTGGATGATTACCAAAATGCCCCTGGGATCGAGACCAGGGCGCCTCACTTTGGTTCCACCCAGTCTCTTCTCTACCTCGACCCCAATCTCAAGTAAGCTCATATGTTGCTTAAGTTAATTGTTTCAATAATTGATGCCATTTCTGCATTCATAGAAGATGGATTTAAAAAATTTGAGAAATTTTCACTTGTCACAAAGTTTAGAATATCAATTATGTTGCGCCAATGTTACATGACCAATGTCGCATTTTATCGTTTATAATATAATATTATTGAGATTGAGAGTGCGACAGCATAACATGAATGTTAAAAATCGATATTATATTTGCACTAATAGTAGATAACTACATTTGTATATAGGCGCATCACGGGATACATGGCACCTCTAGTGGAATCATTGGAAAACATTGGCTATGTCAACGAAAAAAACCTATTTGGGGCCCCATACGATTTTCGGTATGGTTTGGCACCAGAAGATCATCCATCCCATGTTGGTTCCAAGTTCTTACAAGACCTAAAAGATTTGATAGAAAATGCAAGCACCTCAAATGGAGGAAGGCCAGTAATTCTTGTGTCACACAGCTTAGGAGGCCTCTTTGCTCTCCACCTCCTCAACCGGAACACGCCTTCGTGGCGCCGGAAATTCATCAAACACTTTGTTTCACTCTCCACACCATGGGGTGGCACCGTGGACGAAATGCTCACATTTGCCTCAGGCAACACATTAGGGGTGCCCCTAGTGGATCCATTGCTGGTTAGAGAAGAGCAAAGGAGCTCAGAGAGCAACCTTTGGCTAATGCCAAACCCGAAATTATTTGGTCGTAAAACCCCACTTGTAATCACCCCAAACGCTACATATTCAGCCTCTGATATTCCACAATTTCTCAGTGACATTGGATTTGAACAAGGTATTCATCCTTTCAAAACGCGCGTTTTGGGCTTGATGGATCAGTTGGTTGCTCCCGGGGTGCCTATTACTTGTGTTTTTGGAAGTGGTGTGAAGACAGCGGAGACTTTGTTCTATGGAAACAAGGGTTTTGATGAGCAGCCTGAGATTGTTTATGGGGATGGAGATGGGACTGTGAACATGGTGAGCTTAATGGCCCATGAATCTCTATGGTCTGATGTGAAAAATCAAACCCTAAAAACCATCAGAATTCCTGGGGTTTCTCATACGGCCATACTCAAAGACGAAGGCGCACTTGATCAAATTGTCAGAGAAATTTCTGGGATTAATTCCCAGCTCAGTTTTGTTGAGAATGTAATTAGTGTGGAGTGAATTTTGATCATATGCCGAAAAGGCACTATATCTATCCCACATCGGAAATAAGAAGAAAATTGCTCTTGATACCAAATGAAGAAATAAAATGGGAATATTTGTTAATTTTCTTAAATACAAATTTGAAAGGAGGGGAAATATTTGTTTTTTATTTTTAATTCAGGGCGAATATTTTAAAAAGAAGAGCATAGGAGTTCGGGGAAGACTGGAAGGCCCGTGGGGCGGGACCCACCAGAGCGTGGCTTTCATAAAGCGCCAGGCTGCCAGCTCGGTGGTTTGACCGATCCTGGGGATCTAAAGATTTGTAATTCACTTTCCTCAAATTAAAAAAATAAAATTGTAAAAAGAAAAAAGATTTATAATTTGCATTTGCCTCGATTGGCAATTTTTGGCTTTCCGGTGTCCGGTTTGACCACTTTCAAGTCTTTGGACGATTGCACAGAGAGAGAGAGATGCACTTGCTTTCTTATGACCAATCACGTACTTCCACGTAGTTGGGAACCGTGCGTTCAAAGAGCCAGACACTTTTTCCCTGGCTTAAGTTACATTTAATTTATCAGACCAAAAAAAAAAAGGTTGCATTTAATTTATATTAATTAACTGTGTGATTGTATAAAATTATAATATAATCAGAGTGAGGAGTGGCCGGGAAGTATAGCTTTGACTAATTATATTCTTTTCTCCACCTGATGTTTAGAACGTTCACAATCGACTTCCTAAATAATTATTTTAGAGAGAAATTGAAAAAAATAACTTCAATCATGCTCTTTATCCACCTATTAAAATAGGGAGATTTCTATGAACTCTTAAATGTGAGGAGATATAAATGACTCATAATGACTCCCTATAATTTAACGTTATTTTATTTTATGAGTATTTTAAACATTTAATTAACGATAACTATATATATATATATTTTTTATATAGAGATGGACTAATTAAAAAAGAGTAATAGCATTTATGACTTTTTAAACTAGAGAATATGATTTGAGTTAAAATTTTATAGAGAGCTCCTAAAATAACTTTTATATGTTAGTAGCTAAATTTTAACTAAAAAATAGAGATCATGATTGTAGATACTCTTCCTCTTGACAATAATGTTTGCAAGCGAAATTCTATAGCGAGGGTGTCATATATGCACCCCTTATGTGAACCTTTATATTAGCCACATGATCATTTCATTAAATTTAAGTGAAGTTACTATTCACATGAATCGTGGCTAATATTGAGGTCCATATCTATGGTCCATATATGACACCCTCACCATAGAATGACTCATAATTCGCAAATTCCCAATTCGTCTAAAAGACCAACCCATCAAATGCTCAATGGCCTTTTGGTTTGAATCTTCACAAAAAAAAAAAAAAAAAAAAAAAAAAAAGAGAGAAAGAAATTTTAGACAACAGAAGACTAGAAAAAGAATTAAAAAATATATTAATTTGGAGAAAGAAAAAGAGAAAAAGAATATACAGAGAAAACAATATTAGATTACTAAATCCACAAGAAGCATTTTGTTAAAAAAAGAAGATACCAATTCACTTACAAAAAGAGTGATAACTAAATTTATCAACATTTGCATACCAACTATTTATTTTTTTTAAAAGTTTGCACACCAACTTATTCCATAAGAAAAAATAAAGTTCATATGAAAACATGAACAAGTGACCACTCATAACATTAATAGATTTTATGAGCCATTTAATATTTAATATGATTGAATAAAACCACTATGCTCATATATTACAATTTATATCCGTTATCTTAATATATTTATTCAACCGTTCCATCAACCAACTACTACTTTTTTATTTTTCTGCAAGAGCTGGCTAAGCCATTGGTGGTTGAATCTGACCATTCAAACCTAGTAAACCTACCATGAACATGGTGGAAGGTTTCAAGCACCCTTTGTAACCTTTTTTTTGGTAGATACAGAGATTTTATATATATATATATATATATATATAAAAGGAATAAAACAATAATTTATATCACTATTTTTTGGTCGATATAAAAAGAAAAACTCGAACACCCTTTTATCCAAAGTCATTAAAAGAAATGTTGATTAAATAAAAGTTAAAAATGTTTATTAGTTTATAATTTTAAATTTAACTGCATAATATAATTCAGTCAAACAAGCTTTACTAAAAATAATTCAGTCAAAAACAACCTCTATCCTATCTGGGCATTGGTTACACAATTACATTGTCACGTATGCAGAGTCTCTGCCACTGCATCTGCATGCTTATAAATTATACAGCATTGCATGAATATCGATAATACAAAAAAAAATTACAAAAACCAAGAAGAAAAAATTATCATCAGATATTACTGTGTCTGTGACCAGAAACAAGGTATGACTGCACGTGTGCTGCACAGTTTGCCAGGACTTGTAGAACCGGAGATAGCCGGTAACCCAGACACAGACACAAATCTATCATTTTCTCGAGGAAATTTAAGAAAATAATAATAATAAACAAATTTTTGGGGGTTTTCGTCACCTGCCCCCACAAGAAGACCAGCAGAGCAGTGGAGGAGACTGTGCAGAAGAAGATAGCTTTTTTTCGTATGCTTTTCTTTCCTCTGCCCTTCTCTTTTCTAACTTGCTATCATGGTATGGTTCTGAGCTTTCTCATTCTCTCATGTCCTTGTTGTTGTAATTTTTTCTAAGAAATTTATAAAATTCTTCTCTGTATTCTTTTTGGTCAGTTGGGTGAGTGCTGTTTGAGTGATATGAGTGAGTTTGGACCCTTTTGTCACTTTTGAATGCCTTCTTGCTTTTTTTCTTCCCTGATCTGGGGTTTATGATTTCAAACTTTTTATTGAGCTTGAAGAGGAAGTGAGAGCTTTGGTATTGGAGAAGAAGATTACTACTTCATGATGTGCTTGATTTGGTGATGATTATAATGATGGTTGTGGTAGTGGTGGTGAAGAAGAAGAAGGTGGGCCTTTTGACCATAGAAAGAGATCAGATAAAGCAAGGAAATGGGAGAAAAGATATCCCCTTTGGCATTTGATGGTCTTTGTTGCTTGCTTGTAATTGTCAATGAGAAGGTTTAGCCAAAGAGAGTAAAGGAAAGCAACAGTGAGAGAGAAAACTCTCCTCCTCCTCTCTTTTCCACACTTTTCTCTCTCCATCTTCTTTTCTTTATCTCCTTTACTTTGCCACACGCTTCTTGCTGGGTGGATGTGATGGGACAGATTGGTCTTCAAGTGGAATTCTTGTTTTTTGGTGTCTTTGGATTTTGAGGGTCTTTAACTCTTTCTTATCCAAGCCAAGTGTAGTTTATTTGGTTTTCTTCTTGATTTGCAAAAGGGGTTCTAAAAATGCCTATGTACCAGCCAACTGGTAGGAGAAGAGTTGGGGATATGAAGTTTGATGTGGGTAGTGGTGGCCAAGTTCTAGATCTGGACACTGCAGTGAAAGATGGGATTTTGGGTGGTGAAGATGGGTTAATTTGTGGTGGCGGTGTTGGTGTTGTGGCTGAAAAGTTGGATCTGAAGAAGATGATTGAGGAGCTTGAGTCCATTGAGATTCCTTCAGTCTTCATTTGCCCAATCTCATTGGAGCCAATGCAAGACCCTGTAACCCTTTGCACGGGTCAGACTTACGAGAGATCAAACATTCTCAAATGGTTCTCTCTGGGCCACTATACTTGTCCCACAACAATGCAAGAGCTCTGGGATGATTCAGTCACACCCAACAAGACCCTTCAGCAGCTGATTTGCAGTTGGTTTTCACAGAAGTACTTGGCCATGAAGAAGAGGTCAGAGGATGTGCAAGGAAGGGTTTTGGAGATTCTGGAGACACTGAAGAAGGTTAAGGGCCAAGCCAGAGTTCAAGCTCTCAAGGAGCTCAGACAGGTAGTGACTGCTCATGCATCAGCTAAGAACACAGTGGTGGACAATGGAGGTGTTGCTTTGATTACTTCTCTGTTGGGTCCTTTCACTTCACACGCTGTTGGGTCAGAAGCAATTGGGACACTTGTGAATTTGGACCTCAGTTCAGAAGCCAAGACAATTCTGATGCAACCGGCAAAGATATCGTTAATGGTTGATATGTTGAATGAGGGATCCATTGAGACCAAGATCAATTGTACGAAATTGATTGAAGTTTTGATGGAGGGCAAGGATTTGGAGTCGGAAAACGTCTCAAGCTTGAGTCTTGTGGTTGGATTGTTGAGGTTAGTGAAGGATAAAAGATACTCTAATGGTGTTTTGCCTGGTCTCAGTCTGCTGAAGACAATTTGTTCGCATGAGTCAGTCAGGAACTCGGTTGTGAGCGTCGGGGCAGTTCCTCAATTGATTGAGCTCTTGCCCAATTTGAATCATGAGTGTTTGGAGTTAGCCCTTCATATCCTGGAAGTTTTGTCAACGCTTCCTGAGGGAAGGCAGGCTTTGAAAGATTGTCCTAAGACAATCCCCAGTGTGGTTAGGCTATTGATGAAGGTTTCAGAGAGCTGCACTCAGCTTGCATTGTCAATCTTGTGGGCGGTTTGCAAGCTCGCCCCGGACGAATGCGCATCGCTTGCTGTGGAGGCAGGTTTGGCAGCCAAGCTGCTTCTTGTAATTCAGAGTGGTTGCAATCCTGTATTGAAGCAAAGGGCTGCAGAGCTCTTGAAGTTGTGTAGTCTAAATTACACTGCCACAATATTCATTTCCAAGTGTAAGCTTACTAGAACAATACAATGAAGAGAAAGAAAAAAAGGTACTTTGTTGATATACATTCTCTCAATTTTTCATTGTTCCAATGGATAAAGGAGCCAAAGAGCTTGTGGGATCCAAGAAAATTCAAGACAAAAGTCACTTGTGGTGTTTCTGAGGCACCCTTCTATATTGTGTATACTAAAAATCTTTGATGGGATCGATTGTTTCCACCACCAGAAGCATCATAATGTGGATCAATTTGGGCACTGTATCAAAATTTTCATACCTACAATTCCACTGTCTATAAGCTGACCTTTTTGCCAAGAAGCCTCAACAATATTCAAGCCAAATTGAGTTCTTTTTGTTTGTTGTCTTGTCAACAATGGTTACAGATGGGTTGCTTGTTTCTTCATGTCCAAACAAGAGAGTGGCTTTTATCATTTATCTGTGAAGGAGTTGAGTGAAGGGAAAACTTTACTGTAATTGTAGTTGATGTTGCTTGGCTTGTGCAGCCCCATTGATTCTCAGTCATATTTCCCTCTTGTAAAGATCTAGGCAGATTTGGATTTTGCAGGGTTCATTCGTAGAGCCTGTTGGGCAAAAGATAAAAGTCATGTACAATAAGCATTGAACACGAAAATTTTAATTTTTACATGATGGTTTTTGAATTTGCCGCAAATTTAGAAATTCCCATTCACTCATTTATGTTTGGCACTGTGCTGTTCTGATTTGCATTGTCCTTTGATGACTTGAGAGAGCTGACTAGCTAAGAGATGGGTGGAGGAGAGGAGGGGCCTTTCGTGTTTGCTTGTTTTGTTTGCTTTCCCTTCATTTATTGGATGCATTGACCGGCAACAGGGCTGTGAAGGAGGACATTGCTTTACTCTTTGTGGAAAAGCTGCTACAGAAACAGGGGTTTCTTGATTCAGACGTGAACGAAAAGTTAAGTGAAGGGAAAACAAAACTGACTGAGCTTTAATGAAAACACCTAGAAAAAAATTATATCAGAGAAAAATTAGCCAACTAATCCCGAGTCCTATCAAAATCATTGATCATCATCTTAAGATGATATTGCAATGCTTTTTGGATTCCCAAAGTTTCAATGTTTTTTGTTTTATTAATATTTTGGTGTAATAAAATTAAAATTTAGATGCGAGGCACTTATTGCTTAAGTGGTCAATGTGAGGTTATATCGAGATAATGCGTTCAATCCATCCTTCTTTAATATCGCTTGTAATTTTTTATTTTTTTTTAAAGTACTTTGCAGTTGAAAACTTGAAACTAGATGAAGCATTTTAAGGGCCCTCAAAGTCACTTTTGTTGTCACGAATGGGCACACATGGACAAAGCCTTTGGGCCCTTGGCAATGAAAAGAAATTTGTTCAAGAGGGGAAAAAGAGAGCATTGAAACCTTGTCTACCCGAAAAGCAGAGAGGACAAGAACCAAAAAATTCTTTTGTAGCATTTGCAATTGCAACATGGCATCTTTGAATGGAAATAATGCCGGCCAAAACCAAAAAGGCTCGAAATAATGGAAATATAAATAATAATTTTGAGTCGTTCACAATACTTGGTGAAAATTACATAGTTGTCCCTCAGCCTGCTGCTTCAATAATTTCTTGAAAAATATTCACCTCCAAAAACATATTTTTTTCTTTTGTCAAGTTACCTGTAATTTATATTTTTTTATTATAAAATTGTATACATAACATACGTGTATACATTTCACAATTGGAACAATCATAACTAGTGAAGCTTTAATGCATCAAGTTTTTTTAAATATATAAAGTGATATTCTAAACTATTGTAATATACGGGAAGGGGGATTGAATTCGAGTGCAAGAAAGCAAGGATACTATCTTAACCAACTGACCTAACTCATGTATGCATAATGTAAAATTGAATTCAGGGTCGGGCCACAAATTAAAATTTGAATTTACTCAAGCCCAAAATCCAAATCAACCTACAACGTAAGTAGATGTAAAAACCCAACAAACATTGAATTCATGGGCTGTCAGCTTGGAAAGTAAACTTCATTCACCTGTTTCCCTGGGCCATGAAAAACTTTCAAAAAAATTTATTTTTTATTTGGTCAAGCAGATAAGGTCCAAAAGGTATCTGTGCTTTAGTCTGTTATGATTGGATCCAACATCATACCTGGATCTACCTAATCATATATTTATCTTGTGCCGGACAAAATAATTTGGTTTTTCACCCGGGAACTTGCACACGTGGCATCTTTCTATAGACCTACCACTATCGACAAGGATAGTTCGTAAACCAGCGGATCCAATACCCGCACTTTCCAATGCGCCCGTACCTTTTTTGAACGTCCCATTTTTCAATTCGTCACTTTCTTCCTTCCTCCCAAAAAAAAATGTCATGGCTCGCACGCTCGCTCGCTGACTCTCTACGGCTCGACGACGACGGTGGTGCCGAGAACGACGTTGTACCGAACAACAATGACAAAGCACCAATCTCACCCACCACCGACACCAAACCCCAAGAAGATGACAATGGAAGAAGTGGAATTGAATCTGCAGACGAGGAACAAGACGACGCCCAAACCCGAGGCGTGAAGGATGACCTCGACGAATTCAAACAAACCCTGACCCGCCAATTCTGGGGCGTCGCTACCTTCCTCGCGCCACCGCCTTCGGACCCCTCCACGCTGTCCAATCGATCAGGTCCCGATTTCGATCGATCTGAGCCGCCCGATAATCGGCCCGAGCAATTGGCGATGGATTTGATTGAAGACGAAGAGGATGAATTGGAAGAGTGCGCTGTTGGGGTCACTGAGGAGGTCCTGGCTTTCGCAAAAAACATCGCGATGCATCCAGAAACGTGGCTGGACTTTCCTCTTGATGAGGAAGAGGACTTAGGCGGTATGTATAGATAGAAATATATACACAAAATGATATGCATGTATGTATGTATGAATGTAGGTCTCAGTTCTCATTGGTCAATTTAGAAGTGTGGAAAATTCGATGCGGTTAAAATGTACATTGCATAATCTTCTTCAAATGATTGAATACAAGGCTTAACCTTTAATCTTTAATCAATGTGTTGGTTTTTCGCAAATCTTAAATTAGGAATATAAAATTTGATTCGATGTTGCACCATCTTCAACTCTTCTCCGGATCCGGAGTTTTTCGAGAAAAAGTCCCATCCTTCAATATCATGATTGGGTCGACCAGGCCAGATCATGAGTGTTACCAATGGGGGATGTTATGCACAATGCAGTTGACAATAGTTGCAGAAATTTGAATGAGTTCATGGTGAAATTGTTGGAAGAGGAGTTTGATTACATTGGACAAAACCCTTAGTTTTGATATTATCTCTTTCCTGATCAAACTTATTGCTCTTTTTTAATCATGTAGTTCGGTGGTTGGTGCCTAATTCATACACCTTTCTTATTTTAGATTTTGAAATGTCTGATGCCCAGCAAGAGCATGCTATGGCGATTGAACATTTTGCTCCAAGATTAGCTGCTTTGAGGTTTGAACTCTGTCCATGCCATATGAGCGAGAGTTACTTCTGGAAAGTCTATTTTGTGCTTCTGCATTCAAGGCTCAATAAGCAGGATGCGGAGATTTTGTCCACACCCCAAGTAAGCTTCCCTTTTGTATACAGTGTCCCTCAAATAATTGATTAAGTTTGATGCTGTTTCAAACATAGGCCTTCAGATTCTGAATTAAAGTTACTACTATAGTGGAATTAGTTTACAGGATTTTAGTACCATACCATGTAATGTATTAAAGTGGGAATTTGTGCTTCGTGCCAATTCTAGAGTTGCAGTATTCCATTTGTTTCTTCTTATCCAAGGCCAAACTTCATTGTATCTCACAAGTTCTTGTTGCTTTTGGTTAGCTTGAACTCCTCCATTAGAGTTTGCCAACTTTTCCAGGCCTGGGTTTTGATAGTTCTAGATGTTCATTCAGGCATGTTGGATATTCATCTCTAGAAGAGTTCAACTTCAATACTTTATTTAGGTTACTGTTTGTCTTGTTAAGTTTGTTGATCAGGAAAAAGGAAATAAGAGGTCAGTCGGTCTGTGGTTCTAAATGAAGTTTGTTTCAAGGCTGTTAGTGTATTTTGTTTTGATGTCTCAAGTTTTGTTTCCTTATGGAGGAATAAATTTAGGATTTAGAAATTCTTGATAGATGGTTTCAGAAAAATTGGAATAAATTTTGGAGACCAAAGTTTTGTTTGCACTTTTTGATTGAGCAATTGCCTGGTTTATATTTCTTTTCTGAAATTTCATGCAGTCTAACATATTGGTTGCAGGTAATGGAAGCCAGAGCAAAGTGGATGCAGGAGCTACAATGTCAGACTATGTCAGAATACGAAGGATTTGGAAGAAACACTTCTTTTCTAAAAGACAATTCTAACATACCAAATGACGATTTTGTTCCGGTCTCATCCTGTAGTGTTTATTATGAGGACAAGCTGCTAAGGACACATCCTTATGAATCAACCATGTCCCCCACAGTCCATGAGACTGAGAAACATCCAGTTGAGAGTAATGAGATGCCATTCATTGATAAGTCTGTTATTGAAGAAAATCCCATCATTAAGACAGAGGATAAGAATTTAACAGTTGGTCCATCCTCTAAGATAGACAATATCTATGAAGATGATGAGGATGACTGGCCAGAGGAAGATTCTGATTTAGATGGATATAGTGGAACGGCTATTCATGTGGTAAATGAAGAAGACATATCTTTCAGTGATCTCGAGGACGATGATTTCCTTACACCCACAAAACTCAAGATTGTCTCAAAGAAATAAGAAACCTCAAGGAAAGAGAGGTTAATCATCGGTATGGTGCTCTGCTCATTGGATAAAAGATGGAACCTGAAGTCATCCGATGAACACCGGTGGTGGTGAGGACTTGTATATCACTTGTCAATTGCCCTGCCAAAATAGTCCTACACTAGGACTCTTCTATGCACCTGCAGATTGTTCTACTGAATAGTCCTGCGCTGGGACTCTTCTAAGTCGTTGCTGATTACCCTACGGAATAGTCCCACACCAGGACTCAAGCCTCTGGTGATGCTATTTGTTCTGAATACCAATTTGTACATGATGTGTTGCCACCTTGTCATTGAAGTCTTTACAGAAAAGTATATGTTTTGATTGATTGTGATAGGATTGTAATTACTATATTTAGGGATTTTGAGAGAGGGTACAAGAGGTCATTTCATCAATGAATTGCCCCAATTTCGTGTCTTTGAAAGAAAATTTTCAAGATGAATGTATTACCATTGGATCAATAAAACCAATTTTGCCTTTCTTGTTGTATATCTTCTGCATATATCATCATTTTTAGGAATTTTTGTGTTGTGCTGTATTATGTAAATCCTCTGCTTCATCAAGCCACCCCCATTACACAAGCTTTCAAACCTTGGAAGAAAAATAGAAAGGGAAAGGAAACCCAAGAAAACTATACACCATGTTAAAAGGAATAAACACCACCACCCCCACCTTAATATGTTACAAACACAACTTCTTCAGCCCTACCGTCATCACCAACATCATCAATAATAATAAAAGAGGGAAAGAATATACTTTTGAAAGAACAATACCTAAAATAAGTCTGCTATTCAATAAACTGCTAAACTGGAATGACATCATTCTCTGATGCATCATCACATCTCAAAATAATACCCTCAAGTCTAGCTGGAAAGATATATTTGGCCCACTGGCATCCTGTCATGATCGGCTCAGGGGGAGGAACAATCATCAACACATTGTCATTTCTTTAAATATTCAGCACTTGCCTCGCCTCCTTCGTATATATTTAAAGGGTATAGCCGCGCGGCTATACTGTTTAAATATTCTATTTTAAAATATTATACTCTTTAAAAAATATATATATTTAAAGAATATATTTCCCCATTACACCAAAAATAAAATATAGCACACTACGACGCTCAGATTTTCTCCACTTATCTGTATTCCAAAAGAATTTGCAGGATAAAAGTTAAGTATGCATCCAGCATCAAGGAGTTGGAGAAAAAAAGGCATGCAGAATCAAACTGGATCTCCAGTGCTCTGAAGATATTAGGAGGAAAAAAACACAACTTAAAAACAGAAACCTTTTCCATTATAATCTTTACCATTAGATGGTAGTTCCCTCACGGCTGATCACGCTGCGAATTCGTACAGGCTATCTAGAGGCCCTGGCTTGCAAATTTTAACGTTGATATGTGGCCAAGACAAAAGTTGAAACATATCAATAGACAAAGGTTGAACTCGCCTCCTCCTTATATAATTTAAAGGGTATAGCCGCTCGGCTATACTGCTCAAGTATTCTATTCAAAGAGTAGAGCCGCGCGGCTATATTCTTAAAAAATATATATATTTAAAGAGTATATTCCACATTGCACCATCAATAAAAATCTGGATTTCTCTGTAACATAAACCCAAAAAATTATAGAATCTAAACCAAATTCTAGAAAGAAAAAACCCTTCTTAATTTTCTTGAAAAATCACAATCAAACCCCCCAGTTTTCCAATGTATTGGAGTTAGAAAATATAAAATTATGAGCAGAAGATGAAATATAACCAAAGATATTGTGGCAAAACAGAGTAACCTACCAAGACCAACACACCAAGGTAAATCGTTCGATCCTTCAGAGCAAACTGCCAAGCCAACAATGGTTGCGTTCATTGAAGCAAGGTCTAAGGCCGGCTATATTTGACTCGGGTCCGGATCATTGAAACAGGCCGGGTTGACCACGAGATTTCATGGACCGCCAACCTAACCCAAGAAGTTCAGTTTTGGGCTACAAAATGTTGTGGTTGGCCTTGACCCACTGAGGGTGAAGAAAATTTTAATTAATCCGCTGCCACATATAAGGAAAAAAAATATGACTGCCGCGTACGCAAATGTCATGGCGATGAAAGCTCTTGTTCGTTTGTTAAGAGAAGTTTACAAGTAGCATCACTTATAATTAGTATTTAATTGAAGTAATTAAGCAATACATTTTGGCATAATGTTTTATCCAAACATTGTAATTGAAACTTTAATTGCGATGTCAAGGGTTTGATTGTTTTGTTAGCAAGCTTCATTTGGGTATTTGTGTTTCTAATCGAATTTTTAGTTCTCATTTTTTGTGTCATGCATTGTGATTCCACAATTCTAGTATTGTAAATGTGAAACTCTAAAAATGGGAACATTGAGAGAGGATTAAGAGAGGAGAATCCGATTCTATAATAAATGGCCATGCTTTTTAATTGAAATCATATGAAGAAAACAATCTCAATCCTCTAAAACAATTAAGGTAAATACCGTGTGTTAATTATTACATTGCATGAGTGAAGGCATGAAATCTATATATATGTGTGCATCTCATCTTCATTTTAGGTTCTATATCTATCTGCCCTCTTGGTGTTACTCTTGCTTTCAGAAAAAAGAAAAGAAGGTTAAAAACTCAAGTGGAAAAGATGAGTTACTATGATTCCAAGCCTCAACCAGCCCCCGTCATTGCTCCCCCTCCTCAAGGTACCGTGTACCGTGTATATATAGTCCCTTTTTAGTGAAGGATTTGTCAAATATTTACCACTCAGTTGCAGTGATCAGTTAGATTTTCCATACTTGTTTGGATACAACAATGGGTTTATAATTTTATTTGAATAGTCATAGAAGTGTATATTTTGAATTTCTGGATCAATCAAATGGGTTGTACTTGTTGTAGGTTATGGTGGTTATCCTCCACCTGGATATACAGCACAAGGCTATCCTCAGCCTCCTCCGCCGCCTCAAGTAATTTATCAACCTCCTCCACCACCACCACCACCAACAGAAACACAGTCTAAATCTAAATCCAATAATGGTTGCTTACAAGGATGGTAATTAGCTATATCTCTGTTTCTCTCTCAAATTGTTTAATCTGCAGTTGGTTCATGTTGCTTAAATTTATGTACTTTTGATCTTTGCAGTTTGGCTGGTCTTTGTTGCTGCTGCTGTTTGGAGATTTGCTTCTGAAAAGGATGCTTCATTTCATACATTTGAATTTGATCTTCTTAGTGTTTGCTGTCATTGAATTGAAATAATCATATGAAGTTTCATGAGACCATATCATAACTTGTTTTGGAATTTCTTGGCAATCAATCTAAGCGGTAAAACTTTCGGATCACTGACGGCCTCTTGATCATGATCACACGGTTGAAAACAAAATATACTTTTGAGCCATATGACTACGATCGAATTTCAACAAGCGCGCTAGATTAAAAATAAAATAAAAATACAAGATGTTCCTGGTCAATGCGGTTTTTTCAGTTATTTATCATCGCGGTTATTCCATCCATTCAGCGAACGAGGCCATTTAATTAATAAAAATAAATAAATATTTATGGCGGGGGCGTCCAGCTCTCTCTCTTCTGCGAGACTTGAACGTCCGCCGTCTCCTCGCTCTCTCTCACACACATAAATCGATCATGTAAGTCACAATGGTTCGTCTTCTCATCGAGCTCTGGTTTTAATTTCTTCAATCAATATCTGATCTTTGTATTTATTGCGATTTCAAACCGCAGAAACCCTAGAATTTAGCGATCCAAGAATCGATATTTCGTCCCCAATTCGTTGGACCACATCGACACCCCATTTCGTCAATTATTGTCAGTTGATTTCCCAAGATCACCTTCAAAAGCCCAAGCTTTTAGGCTTTCCTCTGTGTTTGAGCTCAAATGGAAGTTGGGCTCGTCACGAAAGGCTTGAATTTCTCTCGGCGGAGAAAGAGATGGCTTTTCGCACTTGCAGCTCTTGGCTTGTCCGGTTATGGTGCTTATAGGGTTTATAACTTGCCCTCTGTGGTCAAGAAGAGGAAGAGGTTCGTGAAGCTCTTAGGAGCCCTAATTTCTGTGGCCGAGATGGTCTCTGATTCGGCTGAGACCATCGGCATTGTCTCCAAGGAATTGAAGGAGTTTCTACGTTCTGATTCAGACGAAATGCCCCAGAGTTTAGTGCAAATTTCCAAAATTGCGAGGTCGGAGGAGTTCTCTGGGTCGCTGAGTAAGCTTACAGAGGCTATGACGGTTGGGATTGTTCGAGGGTGTAGATTAGAGATGGAAAATCAGAGTGAATCAGAGACGGGTTTGGGGAATTCGAGCTTTTCCGATAGGGTTTTGGAGAAGGTTTTCTCTACAGCCGGGACAAGGTTCGTTTCGGTTGTGGTTGGAAGCTTTGCGAGGAACATGATTCTGGGTTTTTACTCCAATGATCAATCAGTCGATAGTTCCAGTTCGTCCAGGTCAAGTTTATCGGATGTGCCTAGATGGGTTAATGTGGTTTGCAGTGATAGAAGTAAAGAGCTCATAGCAAATTGCATACAGGTTTTCGTAAGCACTGCAGTTGCAGTGTACCTTGACAAAACGAAGGATATCAATTTCATTGATGAAATGTTTGATGGATTGACCAATTCCAAGCATCAAAACAAAGTAAGGGACGTTCTGGTTTCTCTTTGTAATGGTGCTGTGGAAACGGTCGTCAGAACTTCTCACCAAGTTTTGACGAGTTCAAATTCGAGTTCAAGTTCAAATTCACGTTCTTTCTCCATTGTTGATCAGAATGAAGGTCTAAGTGGAACTACAGACCAGTGCTTGGGGCAAGAAGTATCTGCAGGGCAGCCGAAGGAGGGAACTTCATTGGACGTTATTCAGAGTAGTGGGTGGGTCGGCAAGGTTTCATCTACATTGGCAGTGCCAAGCAATAGGAAGTTTGTTCTTGATGTGACAGGGAGGGTGACATTTGAGACAGTACGTTCTCTTGTTGAATTTATGTTGTGGACGGTGTTAGATGGCTTGAAAAGAAGTGTTAATGTACTTCATGGGGAGGTTGAAGACAGGGGATTGCAAGTCATCAGATACTTCAGTGGAAAGTCGTCCGTTATAATTACCATATGTCTTGCTTTGCATTTATATATCCTGAGTGGTACTAGAGTTCTCTTCACTGCTTAATATGATGGCTTTATCTCTCCCTTGTAAAAAGCTCCTATCAGGGAGGCATGGCTCCCCTTGGGGAAGGTTATGTATCTATTGTATATCTGTCTGTTAATTGAAATGGGATAAAAAGGGGTTTATGACTTCATGGGGATGCATGATTTGAGTTTCAGGAAAATTTATTACCTTTTTGTCCTTTAATTTTTCATTTTAACCTCTTTGAGTAAATGCATCTATGCATACATGTCTGAATTTTGCTGAAATGAATCTTATCTGTCACATTCTGTTAATTACTTATAATTGCACTGTACTGAAAAAAATTCATAACATTGTGCTAGCTGTTCATATGTTTAAATCTGGAAATGGAGAGAGTTGGTGGTCCAAGACTCCAAGGTGTCACCATATATGCTTGCCATTCCCCCTTCACATGGATAATATGCTTGTTTTTTAACTAAAGACCGAGAATGCTCTGTGATTATGTTTGGCTTGTTAGCTACTTAAGAATTCAATCCCTTATAATATTCTGCTTGTTGACTAGAAACATTAGGAAATGTGATTACTCTGGATCTGGAACTATACCTAATTTAGTGTCTCTGGGAGAAATAAGATTTGTGTAGGAAATGGATGTTTGAAGCAGTGATCAATGCTGTTGCAGGGAAGAATGTAGTTTTCTGAAACCAGTAATGATTCTTTTCCATTAAGGTCATCTGAGATACTTTATAAATGGGAAGTGGAATTGGATTGTAACAGCCAATTGAATTCATTGATAAATGGATCAAATTGCCACTTTCAGGACATCCTGCCGTTGCAAAAGCTTGGTGCTAGTGATGGCCTCTGTTCCCTTCATTTGAGGTGACAGACGTTTGAGTTCCTTGAACCCTTTTATCAAACCATTATATTTTGTATATGTTAGAGTTTCTGCTTCAAGCAGGGCTGGACAACTCGTACTCTGTTTCAGACATCTAGAGAGAAGTAGAAGTAGTTCAAAAGAAATTCCCTTTTGAGTAGATGGCCGTTCAGAAATGGTTGTAAAGCTAACATATTTGTAGAACTCCATCAAATTCTCCTTGTGCTTAATTAGGTCATTTTCCAATCATCTTTACGGCTTTTGGGATTTTGAATCTGTGATCACAGGATTGTGGGTTATGAATTTTCTTCTTTGTGAGATCAGATCAGATACATGCACCGCACCGGATGGCATCAGTATGTCAAATGGTGGTGGTTCAAAATGCAATAGTTTATCCTAAGATTTTCTCAAGGCAGCCAGCAAAACCCATTTAGACTTTTTATTTTATTATATCACAGCCGTGTCTGACACTCTGCTTTGCTTAGCTAATATGCATTGTTTCCCACATTTTCATCATGCTTTCGTTTACCATCGTTTACCACATATGAACTGTGTTTTAGTGACATCTACTCCCTCTCCACCAAGCTGCAATCTTATTCGCACTTGAGCTTTTTGGTAACTTCCTAGTGGATTCATTGAAACATTTCGAATCGGCCTCATTTTCCATGCAACTCTCGTAGTTACTTTACGTTTTGTATAAGAGCACTTCCACTCATAAGGGCTAAGTCTTAGGCAAGGGCTGCCACTATTCACCTGAATAGTGTTAGCCTTGCCATTTGTGGTTCTACCCATGAGGGCAAAGTCTAGGACAAGTCCAAGGCAAATACTATTCATTTTACTTTATTTTCTATTTTTTTTATACTTTAAACCATTAATTTTGATAATCATTTGTAATTAAATTTTCGGATAAAAAATATTGGATGTAGAAGAATTGTATGAAGATTTGGTATGGAAAGTGAATAATGTGAGTGGAGTGTAAAAAATATTGGATAGAGAAGAATTGTATGAAGATTTGGTGTGGAAAGTAAATAAAATGGTTAGGTATTTTATAGGAAAAAAATACAGAATTTTTTGGTATTTTTTTAAAAAAAATTTAGAATTTTTTCGATTTTTTTTGCAATTTTTTAAGCCAAAAAAACGAGGACCGTTGGATTTCTAGAAAAAAAGATCGGAGCGTCCCTGTCGCGACACTTGGCACAACGGTAAAAAAATAATTGAATTTCCGTGCGCTAACGTCATCATGACGTCAGTGATGACGTCACAAAACTCGGGCTGAAGCCCAAGCAGAACTTGCCCTTGGGCCTGCCCAGGCTGGTGGGACCCAGCAGTTGCCTGGGCTGGATGTCGCGCGCTGGAGGTGGTTTGGGCCAAGTCGGGGGGCCTTTTGCTCGGTTCTTTGGCTGCGGTGGAGTTGCTCTAAAAGAAAAGATTGTTGCTGAAAGAAGCCTAAAATTAACGGAGTGCACTTTATGGTTTAAGTATATTTTAATATTTTAATTAAATACACCTTATTTAACTACTAAAAATATCCTTAGTACACATCACACAACACAAAATCTATTTATTAATTTAAATATTAGGTTGACGATGACACCAGTAAATACCAATGAACACTCAGTAGTGGTTGATGAACAGTTGATAATGTTTTGGAATTTTATGCTGTGAATTTATGAATAAACTATAAAGGCACTATATATATAGCTAATAGGTAATAGGAAAGTGAAAAATACAAGTTGCTCAATAGCTTAAAAGGTTATCTGAACAGTGTTGGCAAATACTATTGTGCCTTTTTCATATTCTGATTGTAATAAGATTTGAAATTTCTGAGGACTTATCTCCTTGCCTAATATTCTTTTACTGCTTTGTGGGAATTGACTGCATGCTGACCATACATGACATAGAAGAATAAATATACAATATTGTGTTTTTGTTTTCATTATGAAATTGCCTGGAATAACTTTCATTTGGGGTAGAGTTGTGAATTAGGGTTGAATATGGTGAGTAAGGTGTACTTATTAAAATTACATTTGATTCACAATTGGTCATTTTATATTAAGATAAATTAGTAATTTAATAAATAGTTTATAGTAAGATACTCAGTTAATTTTAGGGTTCGTTTTGCATCACTCAAACAAAAATGTGGCAAAACAATGGCTAGCAATTTATTTTATTTGATCGAAAATTACATATTACATCAAGATAATTTAAACTCTAAAACAAATTTGGTTTATTAACTAAAATGAGGAGTTAGTAATTTCTTAATTCCGATCCCCCCAACATTGCTAAGATAAAGAAACCATGCACCAAAGTCCGCAGTGCTTGACTTTTCAGTGTAAATTTTGTACCAGCAAAATGGAAGCCCATGACTTGTCGTGTATTTAACCTTTACTAGCAAAATGGAAACCAATTTCGTGTTGCTCAAAACACATAACTAAAACAGGAAATCAAGTCTAGGCTTGACCAAGTTGGTTATAATGGATGTGCTTCCCACTCTACACCCGAATTTGAATCACCCTCCTCGTAGTTAGATTATATTAAAGTAGAAAATCACTTGTATAAATAAAAGGAGAACCAGAGTTTTATCATAGATCCCTTTTTTTTTCCCTTGGGAAATAAAGAGAATTTCCTGAATTTGGGGAAATCTGCAAAAAGATTGCACTGTGTGGAGGAACCAGTCTGATCTGAAGTCCCCATGGCAAAAACAAGACAGAGAACGTATTATTTTTTCTTATTAATTGTCACCAACATGATGTATTTGTAACAACAGATGTCTTATTGCATGGCCTTTCACCATTAGAAAAGAAAAAAAATAGACATAATTGATTGGTTACTCAACAGAGATACAGAGAAGTTCATGGTTTGTGCTTCTGTCTCTGTGTGTAAATATAATCCACATGAGCCGCAAGAGTCCTTCTCATGAGGCACTCCTCCATCTCTAACCCTGCGCAGCTGATCTCCCCACCATCCTCAACAGCAATGGCCTCTGCTTCTTTGTCCTGAACATATTCATAAAAAAATTTGATTATCAGAAAGAAAAAAAAGGAAGAATTAATGACAGAAAAGTATATTAAAACAACATACTTGTTGTTGGGTTTTCAGGGCGTTGTTGGTGAAAGCAGGGTTTGGACGAGCAGCAAGGCTGAGTTGAAAGCTGAGGAGGAGAGCTATGGTGAAAAGGGTGGTGATTAGCTTAGCCATTTTTCTCTCTCTTTTGTGTTGTAATTTTGACTCTCTGTTTGGAGAATTTATAGTGGGTTTGGTTTGTTGGCTTTGCACGTCCAATTGGATGGTGACTCGTTGACGGGTTTAGATGATTGGAGCAGGGCCAATTGGCACTATTGGCTCTACCAGAATCTACACCAAAATCTCTCTGTTAATCTTCATCTTTAACTATGGTAACAGAAAAGAGAACAAAATTTATGAGAATATTGTAACCAAAGAAAAGCATTTATGAAAATGATCTAGAAACAGATTCATTTTTCCAAAAAAAAAAAATCAAATCAAAGTGAAGAAGAGAGATATTTGCTTATGCAGTAGGCGTTTTCTCAGGCCATATTAATCACATATCAAAGAGGGAAATTGAGTTTAGTATATACTGTTTAATTATAATAGAAACAATATTCATTTGAAAGGTGGATGTGAGACAAAGTGATGGTGGGTTGGCTTATATCCATCCATCTGCTACGGTGTGTTAGTTATTTTTCCCAAATTGACTAAACTCCAAGAACAAAACAAAAATGGTAATTCCGCGATTGCAGAAAGTATCAAAACACTGACAGGTCTTATAAGATCATTTGCCAAGCAAAGCAACGTGGCCCTCTTGCAATTGGGCCTAAATTCTAACAAAATCCAAGAGCATTGGTATTTGGAATTGGGCCTCCTAAACAGGAAAGTGCTCTGTCTTTGAACTTTGAAAACAGTCTTTTGGCATGCACTTTTTTGGGTCAGTCAACCTTCACGGAAACATTTTCAATCAATCACATTTCTCTTCTGCATGCGCGCAGGGACACATACCTACACAACACACCCCTTCTAAAGTTGACTTTTGGGGTCTGGTTCTCTCTCTCTCTCTCTCTCTCTCTCTCAATGAGGTAATGGATATGATGGAACTCACTCTCATTTCCTTTGAGTCTCATCATTATCTTCATCCGTTCTTTAATATATTCGCAGCTTCCTCCTTCATATCCATTGTGTTCATGATTAATTTACGTAAACATGCTTCTTTTTTTTAAGCATAGTGGAGAAGTGAGATGCCCCTACCTACGGCTCTATGCTAGTTTCACAAAAATTCGTAAGTGCAATTTACAAGTTCACCCTCCACACACAGATACTGAGCAATTATGCAGTGGAGAATAACAAAATTAGAGTTCTCCTAAAAAAAAAGGGATATGCTCTCAAATAGTCTTATTATATCGATATCATCATCATATGTTGTCAATATTTTCTCATTATATCGATAACTAATCTCTGTAACTCTATTTGGACTTGCAATGTGCAACTAAGAATAATTCATTTATGATACTTATATAGTATTTTGTAACTAATTGTACTTTTTTATGATTTAACTTAATAACGAAGGAAAGATAACATCATAATTATTTTTTCCTGTTAAGTCTGTATTTTTGTATTTTAGCAAGATGTCGTAGGCTGCCCAACCAGCCAGAAACGACAGCAATGCGAATAAATATTTGCAAATGTCACATTAAATTATCAAGCCTAAAGCAATACATATTTGTAATTCTGCAAACTGTTAAGGGCATCTATTGGAATTTTAACTTATAATCATTCACAAGCCTTATATGAGGCCCCCTTAAGAAATGCTTAAAGCCTATAGTTTTCTCAACCCCCTCTCTCACTATGCGGCTAGCTACCCCAACCTAATTCAATCTCCAAAATTTCATGGCCACCACCACCTCCTCCTCCAACTTCTTCAATCTCCGGTCAACTACTACTTCAGTCCACCCCAAGTCCCGGCCCTCATCGAGCCACGACTCATCACACGGTTGTGGCAAGGTTGATGGGGTGGCTATGTGGCTCATTAACAGTGTCACAACTTGTTTCTTTGCATCCTTAGAGAGGTGCTCTTGCATCCGTATTGCCACGCAAGACGACGGCGATGACTGCAATGACTTGCCGTTGATTTTAACGACGGGAATCTTCGATATGAGGCTGAGGCGACCACCAGCCGGAGGAGAACAGGCAAAGGAAAGAAGGGTATTGCCGGAGGACCATGCTGACAGATTAAGCACCAAAGTTGTGTTAAATTATGTGTAACAAGTCAATCAAATCTCTTCTCTTCACTTTTTTGGTAAGTGGCATCAAATATGGGGGCTGGCTTCTCTTGCAATTGTGAACGTTTGTTGGTTATAGTTTTTGGAAGGGTTGGAATATAATTATGAACATCAAAGAGGACTTATGTTAATTAAATTACTGCCTTTGAATGTGATATGAACATGAAATTAATATATTTGAATCTGCAACTCTGTTCTTCTTTTGTTTAGCAACCTTGAAATGATTATTTTAATTTACTGTAATAATGTTGATAATTTCCCAATTATTATTTAAATCTCATAGCAGAAAGAAACGGTGTAAAAAAAGCAAATCCAGCAGCAAAAGGCACTTTAAATATATTCAAATCTTTTTTTTCTCCATGATTTTGAATCATGCTGTCATTTCATTTCATTTATCATCATCATGTTGCTTCATCGCCCAAAGTTTCTTTTACTTTTTTGTTTTCTCTTTTACCCTTAAACACGTACAATCAAAACCCAAAGAATCCAAAGCAAACAAGACCTTTATTTATCCGTCTGCCTTTAACAAGTGTAATGCAAGCAAACAAAGAGAATTAAGCAAAGACAATGACCCAATTTCTTTTTTATGGTGAAGGGTCACGTCTAACAGCATCATTATTAACCTCCAATTCCACTACTCTTCTTATCAATGGGGTGTTAGTTGGATTGACTCAATCCCAAGTGCTTCTGGGTTTAAACTCCCATAGTTTCCGTGTGTGTGAGTTTTATCCCATTTTCTTTCCTAACTTTGGCAAAAAAAATCTCATTATACTCTTTTCTTTTTTGTAGGTGCCACCATTTTAGCACTAGAGCTATTAAAAAAAAAGAAAACGAGAGAAGTTATGCTTTCTGTTTATTCAAACCTGATATTCTTATGCACTCTCAATCAAATCTTATCTATATTTCCCATCAAAATCTTCAAGTCAGCATAAAACCAAAGTGAATTTCGGCTGCGCATGCTCATGAGTTGGTTTGTTTCAACTTTTTCCTCATAAAAGTGCTTCAAACACAGTGACACTTTCCAGTCAAAAAAAAACTCAGCACTCAATTTGAATATGTACGGAAGGTTTGTGGGGTTCAAGGCAAAAAAAGTTTTACGTTATTGAGCAGTAAATAAACACAGCAAGAAGAACAATATGGATATTTTACTGTATACTTTACTCCAATAAAACATTGAGCAAAATGAAAAAGAGAGAAAGAACTAGGCCAAAGGAAAAATACAAATACTTGGATTTGAAATAAAAAGGAAAGCCTGTAGACGAGTTCATCAACATGGATTGAAATTTCTAGCCCAACTGGTTATGGTCCAAAGGCCCAAAAAAAATGGGAAAGAAAAAAAATAACCGCCGTTGCCGGGGATCGAACCCGGGTCACCCGCGTGACAGGCGGGAATACTTACCACTATACTACAACGACCTTGTTGATATTATTTCATATTAATAAAAATATATATAATTATGCAAACATAAAACTACGCCAAAGTCCGAAGTGACGCAAGTCATCCCTGTGACTCTCTGTCAGGTGGAACACAATTACAGAGCGGCAGATCACCGAGTGAAGTCATCATAGCTGGTCACCATAACCAACCACCCTTTGCTACCTCCTAGCTGCCTCTAGCTGCTATTCTCCTACTCATATTATTGGTTACAGAGAGAGAGAAGCAAAAACTCACAAATCAAATCGAAATGCTCCGCGATGGAGAAGAAACCCCCTCCAGGTACGCGCGTCTTTAATTTTTGTTGTTTTCTGTTTGCTTCTCGGGAATTTTACATTTCATAAGCTCCCTCTTTGTTTCGTAGATTCGAATTGTTGAGCATGGTGAAGAAGCATTCGAGCTTGTTAGGGAAAACCGTAGTTGACGCGGACGATGTTTCCGATGTCGAAATGGACCACAAATTTTGGCATGATGTATTGGATTTGTATTTCATTCGTGGCAAGGACTCCAGGGGACGCCAGGACGATGATCTCGTGTTCTTTGTCAGAAAATTGGTACCCCTTTAATTTTTTCAATTTTTGCTTAATTACATTGCCATTTAAGTTCCTTTCTTAGTTTTAGCTTCATTGATTGAATTGTTGCATTGTGGGCAGAGCTCTTATGGGCATGGTTCCAGTGACGAAAGTGTTTCTCCTTACTTTGTACGCAGGTGGGCACCTAAGGTAAAACCCAGTTTCCGAACCGCTTTGAATTTTGTTAAAAGTCATGAGCTTGTTAATGGGAGGTAACTGGTACTTACTTTTATCAAACAGTTGGATAATTTGATCGGCGAAAATAATGTGGAGGTGGATTGGAGGCGTTCGTATTACTTGAACTTGATTGCTCACACTTCATTTACTGTCACAGTGGCTATTTGCAGGTAGATTCTCCTTTTCATTTGTGTCCAGTTTGTTTTGTTCTTGTAAATTCCACGCCCAAGACACAACATTCTCTTATTGAGTATATATCTGTGTACTCTTATCTTGTCTAGCGGTAATCTGCATGTGTGAACTGTGTTTATTCATTAAAATGACGATCAACCGCACTTTTGGAAACACAACCCTGACTGAGAAATTTCAGTCACTGATTGTAGTCTCTCTGGACTAAAACTTTTCTTTGCTCCAGTTTATTTATCCCAAAATCTTAGAAAAAATAACCAATGGCTTTAGTTAGATGTATTTTGTAGAACTTCTAGTGGAATATTCTTATGTGCTTTTCTTTTTTACCAGAGCTTTTCAATGGTAGAAGTTAAAATAAATGTTGATTTTCAGTCATCAGGACCTTCGGAATCATCAAGCTGAGCAGGGTACTCCATTATCTCCAATATATAAGGTATGCACTGCCTAAGATTGCCGTATCTAAGTATGTCTTAGTAATCTTCCTTTTACAGTATCTTATTGGTGCAAAAATTGCAAAAAAGTTTGCATATTGCATAACAGTCTAAGTTTTCCATATAACATGTGGCATCTCTGCAGGTCGTAAAGACTGTTTATGCATCTCCAAGCCGTGTCAATTTTCAATTGGACTCAAGAAAGGTTAGTTTAGGTACTTTCTGATAATCCTGATATCACGGAATCATTTTTTTTATTCCACTTCATTCTGACACTGTCGCTAACATTTATCTAGGAAGTGGAGACAACACCTGCTTATCCAGATATTTGTTTCGCAATTGATGACTTCGACTCCACTTTTGATGCTGTGGTAAAGGGCCTATTGTAGCTTTCACGTTTCTAAATCTTATATCTGCCAGAGTTTTAAACACCCTCGCATGTAACTCTTTCAGTTGCTTGCTACAATTTATAATGCTGCAAGAAATGATTGTATTTCTTGGTTTTTCAGGTCTTGACTGAAACAGACCATTGCTATTGTGTAATTCTCAATGCACATGATGGGGCAGCATTTCCCAGGGTAAAGGAAGAAGATGGTTGCAGTTCCAGTGATAGTTCCTCTTTGAGGGTTGAGACTAATTCTTCAAAGACAAAAAATACTAAGGTTTCTTTTAAATCTCTGTTCACATGCCAGAATTACCATTAGATATGAGATAGGTGAAATCCCCACACACGCTCTTACTTCAAGGACTACTCTGTATACATTCTGATTTGCTGGTATCGTGATTGCAGCTGACTCTTTTTTCAGGATTTGTCAGCTATCAAATGGTTCGAGATGCATATGATGGTATGTTTTCCTACAGAGAACTCAATTTCTGTTGTTTCACTTAAACCTAATTCTTTGTTTACTTTCATTTATAGAGCAGTTTGATTCATATTAGTCCATTAAGATTGGAGTTCCACCCAAACTATATAGTTTGAACAATGCATTAAATAGGTTTGCAAACATCATTTATTTAATTTTCTACAGTCTCCCAGGGTATGGGATGCCAGAATATTGCTTTATTCAACATCTCTCTCTCTCTCGCAGCTGGCAAGTCTCGATTTGGGAACCTTCTTGGTCATTCCCCTGGCAAACAAGACAGACTTTACATGAAAGGTCCTGGAGGACGTGGCGAAGTTGAAGTAGCTGTTTCCGGTGTTGCAGGTAAGGGATCTTTTCTCTATAATTGACTGATGGAAGAAAGTTTTCTACTTCATTTCTTGTTCTTTATGTTCTAGAGGAAATGTAACTGTAAAATGTTCCTTTCTGGAAAAATAAAATATAAGAAACTTTGTTGACATGTTTTGGTTGGATGTTTACTGTTTTTGTAAATAGCTCAGGTGGAGATTGATTATGATGTTACCAGCACTTTCTAAGTAGATAGAGGTTTTAAAGGTCTGAATTAAAATTATATTATACCTGACAAATTAGGATTAGTTGCTGAGTCAATTTTCTTGTCTGTTTAGGAGGAAATTAATATTATTAGTTTGGCACATATTGCAATTTGTTTTTCATGCAAAATACATCTGGTTTTATGTTTCCTACTTGGCTCTGTGACAAAGTTACGAGTTTTATCAAGTAATTGATTGTATGATGTGAGCACTGGTGCATGTACTGAAAGTAGATGTTGTGTTATCAGATCAAAGCCAACAAGATCTAGGTCCTTTTTCACCTGTTATATCTAAGCAAGGATTTGGAATTGGCTCCATTGTTCGTAAAGCGGCTTCTGTTGCATCTGTGGCTGCAAAGAATGCCTATGCAGCTGCTGCTTCTAGCCATAGTTTTGATGATGAGATGGTACCTCTCAAATGCTGCTTAATGTCCATTACATTACCCTGGGAACACATTGCATATGATCTTCTCTTTAAGGTGAGGTTGTTGTTCCCAGCTGCTAATGAATGAAACAGATATACTTTTGGGTAATCGTAATTTGTGTTAAAATTGCTCCTGCTCTCGGCACTTCGTTACCTACAAGTCTCTGATTGGCGCTTCAGAGTTGCTCTTTCCTCCATTTTCTTAAATAAAATAAGAGCACAAGCAAGGTTGAAAATCTGTGGTTCGACTTTGTATTATTTTGTGGGTTTACTTGAGGTGTTATTAACTTAGCTGATAACCGGAACTTTCCAGATACTGCAATAACAGGCAGCAATAAATAAATAATAATTTATAAAATAAAAAACATCACTCTTTCCATGCTTTGAAGAGCACTAAATTTAGTCCTCATTTGTGAAACTCAGGGTACTCCTCCAGTAAACTTGTAAGCATGCATCTTATGTACTTCTCACTGGTGATGGATATCATAAATGAGTATGCACCTGCAAGAGGCAAACGTGAGACGAGCTGAGATGTCCTGTGATCATTGTAAAGATTGTAATCCACTTGTATATGGAGACCTCTTGCCCTCCGTATGCGCATACGGTGCTGGCCTAGAGCTGTTTGTAATTAAATGTATTGTACAACACTATTTTTTCTCTCTTTTTTGTTTCTGTTTGCAAAACTCAGCAACATCTTCATGATCAATATACTTTTCCAGGTTCAGTGAACATTTGGCTCTATATTATATATTGGGGAGTGGAAGCACTTTGTCTATAGTATATATGTTATTGAATGGCTATAATTTCTTATATGCCCTAGTTTTATTTGCAATCATCACCTAGTCCTCCTCGTATGCTTTTGATTACATAGGGATCTCGACTTTTGTAGCTTTTAAGACAGAGGGATGTCCGTGTAGCCTCTTGAATATCAACCGGATCAAAACGACGTCGCACAAAGCGACAAATATACTATTGTTTGTTTTCATCTCTTTAGACTTTAGCTCCCTCTATCTGGTTACTTTAGGCCATGTTTGTAAATGTTAAATCCAATGAAACATGGCTCTCATGCTGGCCTGTTGCAGGTTTAGCAATCGAAAGAAGATGAAAACAAAGCAGAGAAGTTTTTAAATCTGTGCAGCACATGAAGCCTACTTTGGATTTGGGGCACACTGAAAGGGAGGCAAGACAAGCCTCATCAGTTGGCTTTAATTCATATAAATATGCGGGTTAAGGCTTCAAATGCAGAAGAGAACGTGTGCATGTTAGCCTCCACTTATAATTTGCCCTGTATTTACTGATGAAAGCCAAACCCCATCGAAAACGGCCAACTAAGAAAACGTCCAAGAATGCTAACTAAGAAAACTGCCCTGAAATATTCCTTTCACAAAATCTATTTGCGTCTGAATATTTTATCCAAGACGCCATGTTCTAGGAACAAAAGAATCATGTGACAACTGAAGTATGATACAAAAGCCTACTGATGCATCTCACAATAGAATAAGTTGGGATTATACATACACTTCCTTTCTTTTTATTAAACAACTATCGTCCATGAAATTTAAATTCGAAATCTCATCCCATAAAGTATATATACACCGCGTAAACTTAACACGTACTGATATTCATTACATTGTAAATTTAACATCTCTTAAAATCACTGTTTAATAACATAACACGTAGGTAGGAATGTTTATAATTTAATTAACCCACCACCACCTTTGTCGCCTGCGTATTCCATACGACATCGGCGCAACCTGTCGGCTAAGCTTTCAGATAATTAGCTGTTTGTTTATTCATTTTTGTTTGATTCTTCGTGGTTAAGCTAAAGCTGATCTTGTATGTTGGAGCCCACCATCTCTCTCCTCTTCTCTCTCAGTCTCAGCAAAGCAGTCCAAACTTCACACCCCACCACACTCCATCCCACCACCTTTACACAAAAGTTGTGCACGTAATGGCACTACACCAACCCAAAAATATTATTCTTAAAACAACAAATAATTAAATAAAAGTTAATTAATTAAAGACGCTGTTTTTGGTTAATTTATACTTTTCATGGACAATAATGCCCTCGCTTCTCCAAAAACTTTTGCTTGCGGTGGATCCCACGTGTCCCTCCCCTACAACGATAAATACTCAGCCCCTCCTCTTCGTTCCTTCCCTTTTCTCCTCCTTTCCTCCCCACGCTACACTCAAATGATCATGAGTTCCTCAGCCATGCTCTTCAACCACGAACCGATCCACTTTAACCGGTTTGAGTGCCCGGTTCAAGAAACCGGACTCACAACAGCCGACATCCAGGAACTGCTGTCCCTGCTCCAAGAGGGAAACTCGGCCTCTCCAAACTCCGGTTCAGAGGATTCGAACCGGGCAGTTTACTCGGTGGACGAGAAAAAGCTTAGGCGCAAGAAGTCGAACCGTGAGTCAGCCCGGCGGTCCAGATGGAGAAAGAAGAGGCACTTTGAGGACCTGACCAACGATGTGAACCGGTTGAAAGTAGGGAACCGGGACCTGAAGAAGCGGTTGGGCGTAGTTGCCCAAAAGTGTCACGTAACATGGAGAGAAAATGACCGGTTGACGTCCGAGTCCCTAGCCCTAAGGGCCAGACTTTCGGATTTATACCGGAATTTTGTTGGCATGCAGATGCTGTCACAATAATATATAAAATCCCAAGAGTAATTAATAAAATGATCATCATCATCATTTATATTAATAAGCTCTAATTAACTGGTGATTAATTAGAGCAAGATTAAAGAGTAGCATATGGTTGGTCGGGGTACATTTGGCTGCTTGGAAATGATGGGTTTTTCTTCTTCTTCTTATTTGCTAGTTTCAGGTTCTAGGTCGTAGCTCCACGAAAATTTGGTGGGGATTAGCGCTAGGCATTTAGCTGGCTATAGATATCGCCATGCATGCATATGTAAATATTTGGAGGATTATAATGAAAGTGGAGGCTCTTTGTTTTCACCTTTTTCCATTATCTGCGCTGCGCTCACGAAAAGGAACGCTGCCGCACTGCATGTTTGTTTCACGTTGTTGGTCTATACTCTATGTAAAGATTCGAGAGTCAGTTTGTAGCTTTTTGGTTTTGCATGTTTCTTTTTTTCTCCAAATAATATAATTTTGTGTATGTTGCATCAAAATTGATGCTTGCTAGCTACAATTCCGTAACATACATATATATATATATATAATATGCGCAAATTTGAAAAAGACCAACACCTAAGAATACGTTGGACCCACAAATGACCAACACCTAAAAATTCATATGCTAATATATATATATATATATGGCTATAGCCTTTACCTAAACGATTCGTGTGTTTCTAGTTTGTGTGATATGTACAAATATAAATTAACCTAACTAACGTGAGCGTTTCCGTTTTATATTTACATTTTGGGTGTAAAGCGAACCAAATCGAACCGTGTTTACCCCGAGTCTCGCACAACTGTTAAGGGCGTGTAAGGGTATTCACCTATGAGTTTGCTGCATAAGGTAATATTACAAATTTTGTTGAAGAATATTAAAGTTCCATATCAGAAACTTAACAAAATCAAATATCCCATATAATGAATGGTTTCACTACTAATAATAGCGATATTTTTTTATATAAAACCTCACACTTGCTAAATAAGTGGTTAAATTATAGACAATATCGATGTTGCTAGTAATAGACCATAGATTCGTCTCTCTGAAATTTAACAAATCTTAATACACAATATACATCGATCTTCACAATTATTGAAACTTGTTACTAAACCAAAGTATTTGTATATATGCATATTCAAATATTGAATCTGTCATATGATTCAGTGCAAACACTGAAAAAGCTGATACCATATATGTATATGTGTGTGTTGTATCTTATTTATTGAATTTAGTTGAGATATATTTAACATGAAAGGGGTTAGTACTTAAGTGTGATTAGATATGAATTTAGATTAATTATCATGCGATTTATACACACCCATAACTTTTTTAATTAGCATTATGCATCACATGTGCGCAGCATTACCTTCCTTCCACTACCCAGACAAAGCCATCTTTTGTTTACCTAAAAACTGTACGAGAGAGACGAAACAACAAAAGTTGGCATCTAGATTAGGCAACATACGACACATGGACTTACCAGATAGAGTGCTAGAAAAGAAGGAAAGAAATTAAAGCAACAAATCATCAAGACCAGATAATTAAAATTGTATTGTCATCATCAATCAAGCACATATTAAATTTGTATTGTCGTCATCATCAATCGAGCACACAAACAAAAATTATTTATGCTTATTTTTTACTAGATTAGGGGAAAATATTATAGCAATTTATAAATAAACCCAATTCTAGACATGTATTTATAAAAAAACCCAAGCACTATTTAAACATAGAAACACACCCAAAATCAACCACAAAGTCAACTTTTTGGGTGTGTTTATAAATGGGTTTTGAGTGTGTGTAATGATGGGTTTTGGGTGTGTTTATAAAGTGTTTTGGGTGTTGGGTTTTTTTATAATTTCAACCTCCATTTTGGGTGTTTTAGTGAAACTTAACCCTGAATTGTAAGGATATAATTAAGAGACTGGAATTAAAGGCTATATCTATGAAAATTAATCTTTGATCTACTCCTTTACAGCTAGCTGGAGCTTTTTCAGAAGTAATGCTTGGTTCATATTCAACCATTACAATTGGTATTAGAACCAACCACCACATCTAATTAAGATTATTTGTGTATGGTAGCATGCATATGTTTCGGTTTAATAGGCTTCAACTTTTGACATGTCCACTCAAAGAAAAAGCAACCCAACATTTTATAATGGAAGATTCTCAATTCATCCTTAACACAAGCTAACATACATATCCATCCATTGACGCTATTTTGAATTGGTTGGGTTGAATTAATTTGGTGAACGATGACCAAATGGTAAACAACCAAAAGTAGTAATTAATAATTTTCAACCTCTTTTTATTATTATTTATTGAGTGCATGAGAATTTCAGACTTCTATCCACATGAGTGGAGGTGGAAGAGCTCCACCTACTAAAGCTATACCTGACTGGGCTTTCAACCTCTTAATTATGTAGCCTTAATTGTATTTATATGTTTAATGTTTTTTGAAGAGTTATTCTTGGCCGTGCTTAATGGATATTGGACAAAGAAAAGGTGCATTGACTATATAACTTACACTTCCACCTTACAATTCAACTAGACAATTAATCTTGTCGTGGAATGGATTATGGATGGGGCATTTTCAATCCAGATGCAAGGAATGGATTTGATTCTTGGATTTGTAGCCCCCATCGAATCGCCAAAGCGATATATAATTAAAAGGATCAAAATAGTAAAGCAAAAGAAAAAAGACTTATAGGCCAAGACCCATTTGAATATTAATTCAACCTCTAATAACTAATATAGAAAAGAAAAAGGAGAAAACTATCATTCATTCATGCATTAATTTACTCCATTAAATACAACTTCCGTTCCATGACCTAATCCTCCAAACTCTTGACCATGCTAGAAGAAACTGTATGCATGAAAAAAGGAGCAAACTTTCATTCATTCATCCATTAGGTCTCTTTCTCGACAGTTTCTTCATTTGCAAGTTCATCACAACTAAGCCACGTGTCAAAGAAAGGCACACTTTCCAGATCAAATATGTTACCACGTGCTTAAATTCTTGGTAATAATTTAAACAAAAGTACTGATAAAGTAAAAACAAAGTTGGTAAAAGTAAATTTCTTTTTGACTTCTTCGTCTTGCTATGTTCATGCATGGATTGGATTTTGGATTTTGGATTTTGGATTTGTGGGTCAAGTTGGATCATCAAGAGAATCATCACCCGAAAAAGAAAAGGGTAACAAAGTTAGGGCAGGTATATGTCATGTATTAGTTATTTGCAATCTCACAGTCACTTTCCTTCTCCCTTCTTTCTTCCCCATCTTTCGCAGTCAATCTTACACTTTCTTATTTCTAGTGGCTTCCAAAATCACGTCACTGCGGCTTGCTCGAGATTATCTCTAATTAAAACTGAAGTGTCACTGTTTGCACCATCACTTACCATTCGTTCCACCGATTAGAGTGCGACCCAAATATAGAGGGTCCCGCTCCTTTTTGAGACCGGTCAAACGAACAATATAGTCCAACCGTTTGATTTAAGACTTTCTTCGTTAATAAAGATGAACATGAATTCTATAGCGATGTTTGATCAAATTGGTTAGTTTGATTAAACAGTTAAGAGATAAGATATCATCTAAATTCCTCACCATAAAATGACTCTAGAGATGGACCCCACAAATTTGGGCCGTACTGCACTAGTTCAGAATGTGGGAGATAGGCCCATTGGGGAACGGCTTCCACAGATTGAGCCCACTTGTTTACGTCTCTCCTGATTTGGCACCCAAATTTTCAGGGCCGACGCGCTAAAATTCAAATTTAAAATTTTTGGGCCGTTACCCTGAACAGTTCGAATCTGGACTGAAAATATCAAAACAAACAAAGAGAAGGGCATTTTCGTAAAGCGAACAAATTCAAATCAGAACTTGTTCGAAGTGTTAGCCCGCCTGCGGTTTGAATCGGTGAGAAAGTTTAAGCAGCCGTTGTAACCAGAGACTCAGTAAAGGTTTCAATGGAGAAGATCTGCGTGGCGGTTCGAGTGAGACCTCCTGTATCTCAAGATGTCTCCAATGGAGGAACTTTCTGGAAGGTCGACGACAACCGCATCTCTCTTCACAAGCCTCATGGCACCCCCATATCCGGAGTCTCTTACGCTTTTGGTAAGGACCTATACATTCACACTTGTACATTTATTTCAGTATTTGTATTTGTTTTTGTTTCCGAGATATTTACTTGTAAGAAATGTGATTTTGTTGTTATAGATCATGTGTTCGATGAAGGCTGTACGAATTCTAGGGTTTACGAGCTTCTTACCAAGGACATTATTCATGCTGCAGTCGAAGGATTCAATGGTATTTGAGAAAATTTTCAAAGTTTCAGTTCCGTTTTAAATTAATTGATTTGATGGAATTTGTATTTAATTTGATATTTTGATGTGTAAAATTTTCAGGAACTGCATTCGCGTATGGGCAGACCAGCAGTGGCAAGACTTTCACCATGAATGGTTCTGAAAAAGACCCAGGAATAATTCATCGAGCAGTTAGAGATGTATTTGACAGAATCCAGATGGTAATGAGCTTCATAATTTTTGTTTTGAATTTTGATGCTTACTGTATTGACTTTGATGCTACTTTGCATTCTCAGACTTCACACCGCGAGTTTCTGATTCGAGTTTCCTATATGGAAATCTATAACGAGGAAATTAACGACCTTTTTGCAGTAGAGAACCAGAAATTGCAGATTCATGAGAGTTTGGAGGTTGGTTACTGACCCTTTTGACAATTTTAGATAGCTTCTTTAAGTGAATTGGAATGACTGATTTTCTCGTGTTCAGCGTGGTATATTTGTTGCTGGCCTCAGGGAGGAAATTGTTAGTAATGCTGAACAGGTTTTAAAGCTCATTGAGTCTGGAGAAGGTTTGCACTTTGTAACCAAAACTTGAGTAACAGGGTTTTATGTTTTTGTATGCGCTCTTACTTGAATATTCGTTCTTAATATGTGTGTGGTGAAATGTTTCTTGCAGTTAATAGGCACTTTGGAGAAACAAATATGAATGCTCGGAGTAGTAGATCTCACACTATATTCAGAATGGTATGTCCATATTATATTTTGTTATATAGAGCTCCAATTATGTATTGGATTTACTCCTAATTAGTGGTATATGTCTTATGAGTTTAGGTAATTGAAAGCAACGCAAAGGACACTAGTTCAAGTATTGATGCAATTCGTGTGTCTGTCTTGGTGTGTATTCTTCTGCCATTCTGTGTCTATGTTGACAAACTGTTCCAGATATTTGTTCTCTCATGTTTTAATATATCTGAATTATTTACTTTCTGATTCTGTGATTATTTGTCTTTAAATTTTAATTCGTGCATGCAGAATTTGGTAGATTTAGCCGGGTCTGAACGCATTGCTAAAACTGGAGCTGGCGGAGTACGTCTTAAAGAAGGAAAGTACATAAACAAGAGCTTGATGATTCTTGGTAATGTAATTAACAAACTTAGTGATGGTGCAAAAAACAGGTATTTGTTTCTCTTTTAGTAAATCAATTCTAGCTGAATGTAAAACAAATTTTTTTTTCTTTCTAATGATAACATTTATGCAGGGGTCATATTCCTTATCGCGATAGTAAGCTTACCCGTATACTTCAACCTGCCCTTGGTGGCAATGCCAAAACTTCAATTATATGTACTATAGCACCAGAAGAGGTAGCATATCATTTGCTCCTATGGTATTATATTTATTTATTTTAGCACCATACGCCAACTGTATGGTTCATAATTATAATAAAAATTATGGATGCATTTAGGTACACATTGAGGAAACAAAGGGAACCCTTCAATTTGCTAGCAGAGCTAAGCGCATCACTAATTGTGCTCAAGTGAATGAGGTTTGTATCTTCTTGTGTATTATATTCGACACTATGTTGTGCTAGCTTGGGATTATAACATCTTCAGAAACTTCTAATTAGGATGTTGATGACTTTGTTGCTGCTGCACATTCGTCTTTTCTTTTGTTTTTTGGTTCATTGCAGTAGGAAAGTTTGAGTATAATATAAATTTTTGGGTATGAAGGGAGTGGTGTTTCATGGGAATGAATTCTTAAAAGTTCAAAAGTTATTGGAACATGGTTTCAATCCATAACTTGCCTCAACCACTTTTTGAACTTGTAAATCATCCTTTTTCTGTTTCATTAGTTTTTTGTTTTTATAAAGCTTCTGTATCTTTCAGTCTGTTTATCTATTCCTCTCTGTTTAACTTAACAGTGGAGTTTAATAACGGTTGAATCTTTCACAGATTTTGACAGACGCAGCCTTACTGAAGCGGCAAAAACAAGAGATAGAAGAGCTTCGTAAGAAACTTCAGGTAGGAATCACCACATGTCATTTTACACAAAAATTAAGGCACAAGCTGACATAACTTTCTTTTGTTGAAAATCAGGGATCCCATGCCGGGGTGCTGGAGCAAGAGGTATTAAAATTGCGAAACGACTTGCTTCAGGTATGTTGTTTTTCCCCCCAATTTGCGGAATATAGAGCATCATCTTCATCATCAAGTATAACTTGTGTACATTCTTCGTTTTATGCACTTAGCTGCTAACTTTCCATTGTTCAGTATGAACTAGAGCGGGAGAAGCTGGAAATGGAACTGGAAGAGCAGAGGAAATCACATAAACAACGCGAACAATGCATCAGGGATCAGCAGATCCAAATTGACAATCTCGGTAGTCTTTCTACTACTTCAGACCTCGACAGAAGTTCTAGTCAGGTATAACCTGTATGCCTTGCTATATGTACAAATTTTGAGTCATATCTATTATAAGTTTCATGTTTTATGTTGTTTTAGGGTCTTCAGGTTGTTTCTTTGATGTTCTGATATTGTTAAATCTGTTTATAGGCACAAGATTCTGGTAGACAAAGCCTTAAGGAAGATGGTGATGACAGCTATAGTAAATCTCAAGGAGATCTCTTTAGGACCCCCTCTTTGAAGGCAGTTCCCCATTCCTTTGTTGTCAAGCGATCAAATTATTCACCAGTGCCTGGTTTTAGCCCTCTTCCAGATTCTTTTAGCAACGTGGTTGATGAAGACACGTGGTTTAAAATGAACAAAGGTTTCGTGGCTGACCTTGATTCCCTTCAAATGACTCCTTCAAGAACAGTTCAATCCTTTCCGCCATGTGATGAAACTGCTGTGAGTCTAATTTTAATCCACTTTTCTTCAGTCTCCTGAAATTTTAATTATTTTTCTGTTTGTTACATCGAAGGAAAGGGAGAAGCAATGATCCTCATCCTATTTTATCGTGTTGTATTTTGCTTGTTCACTTGATGTATTTTCACTGTGTTTAAATTGTGATTAAGTTTGTCATGGTTGTGTAAGTTAAGTTAGAGATTGGTATTTTCTTTTGCAACTTGCCAGTATCTTTTAAGTGTTGTTGGAACTGCATTCGCAGCTTATATCTCATTTACAGCACATCTTAAAATTTAGATGCAACTAACTTTCCTGTGATATATGATATGACTAATGGACTACTGCAGTAACACTCTCACCATTTTGTAAGATTTCCAAAAAATTTGGGACATGATTTTTAAGAGTTGTTTTCATTTGTCTCATCAAATTTTTCCAGGGTTCAAAGGAGAATTACAAGCAGGAGGTCCAGAATTTGAAGAGACAACTAGAACTTTCCATTGAAGAGAGAGATGATCTTATGGTTAGTATATCTCGTAAATTTTACTTGTTCTTCTTTGATACAGTAGAATCTAAAAATGCATAAATTATACTCCTGCCCACATTCATGGATTTCCGTATTGATGCTTATATGTGTAGAGGAAACATGCCGAACAAGTCGTATTGAATGATCGATTAGTTTCAGAGATATCTGAACTCCAAAATGAAGCACAGCTAATTCGAGAAATCCCTCAAAGGCTTTCTGAATGTGCGGCAACTTGCAAAGATATTTATGTTGATGTTTTATCAAAGACTCAGGTAATAGCGGTTTTTCATGTTGGGCTCTCCCAACCTTTATTTGGTGTTATACAATGTACTAACAATAGGGTTATCTGGACAGAGCTTTATATCCGATGAGAAAACTTCTGCGGCAAAATTGGTCTCAAGCATAAGTGAAATTGGCACAAGCCTTTTTACGACTCTAGAAACCCATTTCTCAGTGGCATTTGGTGAAGGCCAAAGATCATTTTCCGAGACTAGTTCTCTGATCCAAGAACAGCGAGAAGTGCTCTCTGAGAGGTTGAACAACACAATTAAATTATTGGTATCATCAGAAAGACCAAGCATTGAAAATGAACAAGTAAGGACTTCACTATGCAGCTGTGAACACAAGGTAGCTGCCTGGTCACAATTATCAAGATATTATCCGTTAGTTATGATTTTATTCTCTGCCCTGTTGTTAAGGATATCCTATATGTTTTTAAATAATTTTGATACATAAGTATCAGTTACACTCAACAACAGTTCTAAAAAAAAATTATTCTAGTCAAATTTTTGCAAACCCTTGGGGCTAGGTCAAGCTGGGAGGAGGTGAGAAAATATGTTAGGATTAGGATAGGTCGAGGGTTTCATTTCTTCCAGTGTAACTAAAAGAAAAGTCAAAATGTTGTCATGCACATAGTCAACATACAATAGGAATGATTGAAGCTGTTATCATTACTTATTTTGTTCCATAAATATGTTATTTCCAGAGTCTTCTTCCTTGCAATTTACTTGTACTTTCAGCAGATTAAATTTCTTGTTTGTCCTGTGCTTTCGTATATCTGCAGAAGCATCTAAATCAATTTTTTTCTAATGATGTGCAAATGATTCCATTTATCTTGGTATTTCTGGTCCGGCCTTTTAAGTTAGCTGATCCTGCGGAAATTATGAAAGAACCAAATTTAGTTGGGAGATTGGTGGGGGGGGAGGAAAGAGAGCAATTTAGGCTGGTTTTGTTTTGTCTTTAAATTTAGTTTTTGTGATAAAGGGCTGTGCAACCGGAGGAGAAAATGCATGTTGGAAGGAAAAACTAAGCAATGAACTCATCACTGTCAAGGAAAGATACCATGGCCTGGAGGAGGAGTTAGATTCCAACAACCAGCTTCTGGAGAAATCAAAACAAAGATATGATGCCTTGGAAGCTGAGTTTCAACTTTTGAAAGAAGAAAGAGATTCTTTGCACAAAATTGTCTCTGAATCATCTCAAACACTTGCTCTGGCTACTGACCAAAAGGAAAATGTTCTCAAGGATCTGAATAATGAGGTACTCAGAAGGAAAGATCTTGAAGAGAAAATTAAACAGTTTAGTGTCGCTTTTGGCTGTAGGAAGACATCGCTCATGTCTTTCCACAGTGAATTTAAGTCTAAAATTGAGAGTTTGAGAGCCAAAAATTCAGCTTCAGTGCCCAAATCTGCTGGATGTTAAAGATATCAAATTAGTGTAGGCTGTAATGTTTGTTATTTTGTGTGTTCAGAATGACTCTTTTGAATAATTGTTATTATGTATTTATAAATGAAAAACTCTCGATTGGTAGATTTTTTTAGATCAGTAGACATATTTTTCCAATTTTCCTTCTCGCTTTAATGTTGTGGCATTTTTATACGGGACTTGTAACTCAAGTGATAGAGAGTACTTTAACCTCACACTCACTTAAAAAATTTCATCTTTCTGACTAAAAGGCAAACCAAAAATGTTATGGGGCTCCAAGAATTTCATCTTACTTTTCCCTCTTCCCTGATCGAAAAGCAAAACAAAAATGCCCTAGGGCTATTAAAAATTACGTCACATGCTAGCTAGTGTAATGACATGGTGGCCTGAAACACGCGAAAGGTGTTAGCCTCAGAAAGAAAGTGAAGGAATTTAATGCTTTGCTTTTCTTGAGTTGATTAGGGATTTTTATTGTAAGATAAGATTTGGGTGGAAATTGAGGCCCATAAACCATCGCATCACGATGGAGAAATCCACACTCTAAAGCCCCACAAGAAACAAAATAAATATAAAAAGAATCCATCATCTATATTTTCCTGGAAAGGAAATCTGTCACAACATTTAATATTTGAGGATGTGTCCCGTTACTGTTAGGTGCAACAAATTCCCAATCCGTGATTTTAGCGTAAATCATGGAACCAGAAGACTAATCAGATTAGGGTTATGTTATTATATCATGTGTAATTTTGGGAACATTTCTGGTCCATGGACATTACATACGTGACACGTGTTGCATAACTATAATCAAACATAATGATTTTGATGACAGATTTTCTGTCATGAGTTTAGATGATTTTTGTTTCGTTTTCTAATCCAATAATTGTCGTTTATGAGAATTGAATTCATGATGTCCTTAACCTAACGATACCATATCCTTAATAGCTGATTTTTGTTTCTTTTTTCTAATCCAACAATTTTCGCATATTTTTCTATAAGGAAAATCAATAATTGTATTCATAAATCCACAAAAACAACTGCAAGAACAAATACATATATTCACAAAGAAGTAATACAAATATAAAAATATAATAACCACACAAGATTAATCCATACACAAGCCATATAAAGCCAGAAAAATTAACATAAAAGCTGCATGCCTGAAATTGTATTCATTTACGTATATCTTGGTTTTATACAAAAATATGAGAGAATTTTTACTTTTTGGATGGAGAGAGAGAGAGTGGGAGAAGGTTGGTTAACAATCTCTGGGCCACAATCTGTAATTAGATTTTGAACTTTCTTTTTTTTGGCCAGTACATCACTGGAAATACTTTTACTTGTGATCCCCAACATTTCCATGTTGATGACATCTTTGTTTTTCTCGTTACATCATTAGTAATACTTTTGTTTTCTTTTCCTTCTTCAGAGACTGCATAACTGGTAATGCTTTTCCTCGTGATCCCTAAAATTTCCTTGTCGATGATAATGCCTGCATTCGCTTGCATGATCCGTAAGCAAACTATTTTTCTTCTTTCTGGTTGGAACAAAAACTAATCGAGGAAAGATGGACATGGCCAAGTAAAAGGGACAAAAAATAGAAAATAGAATATTTCACATGACGCATTCATAACATATGTTCTCACACACACACACACACGAGTCAGCATGTGTGAGCTTAAGACAGCATTTCAAATATGGACATGTTATGACGCAGACAAATACAATACATAAACAAATGTTAGGATATTTCTCTTTCTAAATGGCATCAAGCTATTCGTGATCACAATCGGACAACAACGTAACATTTTAGATTATTGGTGAGGAAATACAAGTATGGGAGTTGAGTTCTGAGTCCATGCAGAACCATATTCAATTTGCCTCTGTTCCATCAGAAGCAGGTTATGGTCATTGGTCACCACCTCCAAGCACAAGTAAGACAGAAAAATTCTGGGACCATTTATCAATTCTATATATTGCATAGAGACAAAATTCAGGAAGAAGAAGTGAGGGCTCAATCAAAGACAGCTAATGAATCAACAGAAATTTATTTACCAAAACTACATTGAAATAAGAGACTGAAATTTTATTTTATTTTGGTCGAAAGAGACTGGATTAAAATTTAAAAACACACCTATAAGACCTAACTGGCAAGTTGCAACCAACCAACCCTAGAGCTCATAGGTCATAAAGGTACTTTAAACAGTTAAATAGATACAACCTAGAAATTGGTTGCAGCTCTCTCTCTCTCTCTGACATTAATAAATACACAATATTTCTTCTCTGTTCTGCTTCTGTTCAACCCCAAGCTGATAGATATGATTTTTCTGTCTAAATTAACTCACCAGAACCCCTTCATCACCATCATCTCTCCTTTGCCAGCTTTTCTAGTTTGCACCCCAACTCTTCCACCTCAGCCTCTCCAACACAGAATTTTCTAATGGCTTCCATAATACAGAAGCCAGTAAAACAACTTGCAGAGCTCCTCCAGGAGCAACAAGAACCCTTTGTCCTAGAGGTTTACCTATTTGAAAGAGGGTATCTGAGAAAGAGCTTGAGTTCAAATAGAGAGGGTGGCTCTAGTTTCTGCAAGACTTTTAACAGATCATCCAGTTGGGGCCTAAGCAAGAGCAAAAAGGGTGCTCTCAGCTGTTCCAGAGTACTGAGATCTGTGTATAACAAGCTTGTTTCAAGAAACAGTGGGCCAAGCAATAAGAGTTCTGAAAACAAAGAAGCAGAACTCAATGCCGACACCAAAATGCGCAGAAAGAACCAAGAAATTGTGGATTCAGATAGATTTTCCTCTGCTAGCAGTAGGACACAGTACGATTCATGCTCGGAGGATGAGAAGGATGAAGCCTCAGTTTCTTTGCAAAATGATCATAAGGCCTCCCTTGTAGCCGACACTTCTCAAGTTTCAAAACCCTGCAATATGATCAAAGAGAGAGAGGTAGAAACACCACTTTCCCAATAACCCTCCTAATCTTTTCATGTAAAAACACGATAACTACCGTTTGAAAACAAAAGGACTTTCGATCTCTAGAAAATAAAAAATAAATATAAAAAATATAGTATGATTTGGTTGCTAACAAAGCCAACAGGTTCCTACAGATAGAACAGTTCAATGGAGGCTCATTGAAGAGTCACCGTAAGCAACAAAACCCCGTTTCAGTACTAAAAGATACACCACCTTCCCATGCAGATGCAGGTTCACCTCTTCATACTCTCTTATTACAATAAACTATTTAAGCTTTTTTTTATGTAGTTCTCTTTTTTCTTTTATTTAGATTATTTATTCTTTGTCAATTTTCTATTTTGGCGAAACAGTGCAAGAACTCCCGGCCATGTCAAGAAAAAAGGAAAGTCCATGTCCATCTACTTGTAATTTCAAGATAGCAGACGACTCAATAGTATCAGCTTCTCTGTGGGAGCTGCTTTTCCAGCCAGCATTAGAGAAGCCAAGAGGGTCTGGAGTTTCAGAAAAGCTAGAGCCAGTCAGGTCTAATATTAATCCTTCCCCTCACTTCGCGAAATCCAAGAGGGTGTTGCAGCAAACAAGGCAGCTTCTGTTTGATTGCGTGAGAGAGATGACAGAAACTCATGCAAAGAAAGAGAGAGAAAAGCAGCGAAACTGCAAAGGGTTCCTGGGAGCCGAAGAGATTGGAAACCTGCTTTATGAGAAATTAGGGACGTGGGGCAATCAGGCTGGACATGAAGCCAACATAAATTTTGTTTTGGAGTTGGACTTGTTGGGTTCAGCTGAAGAATGGAGTAACAATTACCAAGAAAGAAGGGAAATCGGGAACGAAATCGGCGACACCATTTTAGAAGAGATCATCGAAGAAATTGTTGCTGAAAAGTGATGAAATAATTGTCTGATACCAAAGTTAGTTGAGCTAATTGAATTCTAAAGATAGCAAACTCATGTCAACTTTGCTGTTTTCTCCCCATTATCACCATTAAGTTCTGGTACTCAATTAACAACAAAAAATGCTTATTTACTAAAGAGAACACAAAATGTAAAACATAGAGATCATACTCTTTATTTTTTAGGCAGATATATTCATTATTGTTAAGCGACGGGAGAATAAAACCTCAGCATTACTGCATGAAGCAAAAAGCATTTTACCAGGCCATGATAAATTGGTTGATGTAGATATTTGAACAACCGGCATAGAAAGACGTTAGATTAGAGTGCCAAAATTATTCTGCCCCATCCCTCTCTGCATTTAATGAGAAAGTCGGTCTCATTCTAAAGGGGCCATATGCAGCCATCATATGGTCCCAATCAGCTTCCACGATCACATAAGAGATATGATCATCCTGTAATGCAGTTGGCGATAAGAAGTTCAACTATCTCGCAATCAACCAGAAATTTATATGACACAAGAAAACTCGAAATTAGGGTAGGATCTAATGCACATTTCAAATGAAAGCAACTTGTCAATCCAGTGGTCCATTGAGATTAATCTTATCCCCGTCTCATAAATTCTACTGCTCAGTACATTTTACTGGTTAGCTAAAATACATTTACATGTAATACTAGTGCTACTGCCTTCCAGCCACCGTTGGATCGTGCACCGCATTCGATTAAAACTAACTGCGACGAAAGTATTCGATCCTCATAACTTTTACACACAGCACACCGCCTTGGCATAGAAATCAAATATACTTTGCATACATAATGCTTTAAAGAAGAAACTCTTAACGTATTAATTATTCCTTCATAATTAACAGAAGCATCATGTGATCTATCAAATTTCCCGTGTATAACCATAAGAACTCCTAAAAAGAATTGGGTATATTTGGAATGTTTAAACCATAATATGCTTACATCTCGCAGAGCCACAAAATTAACAGCACTGTTAAAATAGAACAGCAAGGCTACTGAATTTCCCCATCTTCACCAACCTCCCCATCTTCAAGTTCCCCATATCCACCATTTCGACGGGAACCATCCTGATGCTCTCTCTTGTGTCTTCTATGCCGACTTTCACTGTCAGATTCAGGTGTATGCTACCATAAAACACCAGGAAAATATCATACAATTTCCATTCATAAATAGCTTAAAAGTTTCGACCAAATATATTAGAAAACAAGTTCACATACTTTTCTTGATCTTTTGCGGTCACTACTATGTCTGCGTTTCTTAGACTCTTCTTTCTCCTCCTTATCAGAACCTACATCATCCATGGAACTTTGATGCCGCTTCCGGTGCTTTCTATCTTTGTCTTTCTCCCTTTTCTTATCTTCTTTATGACCATGACTCTCAGTTACGTCTACATTTTCACTATCTGTTTCATCCTTCTTAGACCGTTCTTTTCCCTTTTCTTTTTCACGTTCTCTCTCCTTCTCCTTTCTCTCTTTATCCTTACGCTTCTCTTTCTCCTCTCTCTCTCTCTCTTTTTTAGCCTGCAAAGAAATAAAATCAGTACAAAAATTCCAAATTCAAGCATGAAAACATGTACCAAAACTAAATTAACCAAGTTATGATTCACGGAATCAATTTTGAGTTGGCACAGATAAAATAATGAGTCGTCCAGAAAATTGTACAAGTCCAAACCAGAAATGCTTTTACTCAACATTTCATTTTAAAGCACAAATTTTAAAATGGCATGTAATATGAGATCTATCTTGGTCTTCTAGGAATAAAAAGACAAACCAACTTATACATAGCAATAAAATCCACACCTTTTCCTCCTCTCGCTTGCGTTCTTTCTCTTTAGCCTTCTCCTGTAAGTTTGTAATATATTCCTCAAAAACTTCCCTACTAAAGTTCTCTTCCCCAATTGATCTGAAAATAAGCAAGAAAACATTTACAAACAGCAATATTAAACATTCAGAGGGAAAAAAAAAACATGTTAAAATGTTTTCACTAGTAAGTTATCATTAGAAAAACCTGTATTCTTGGGTTTCTTCAAAAAGGTGTTTGCAATCTTCCCAATTAGAAGAAGCGGTTATTTCCTACAAGGCACAGAACATGGAAGGTCAATGCAATCTCTAACGTAACACTTAATTTAATCCACAAGAGTGACCCCACACCTTGAATGTGTGCAATAGCTTATTGAAGTCGTCACCTAGTCGTTGACGCTTCTTTGCTTCTTTCTCCTCCTTCTCCTTGGCTCTCTCTAATAATTCCTCATATACAAGCTTCAAAATAAGTAAAAGTATTAGCAGACTCTCAAATACACACACCATGTACATATAAATATGAATACGCTTAACAGTCATATCAATGGTATGAAGAGAAACCAAATCAAAGTTGTTGCTGATTTAGAAACCAAAACAAAGTTGATCCTTGCATCAGTGAACTGAGTGTTACAGATGATGGCATTACAGTGTATTCATTGTGCCGAATCAGATGGAGATTGTGGTGACACTTCAATAAATTACTGGCTGTCATTTTGAAACCCTTCAGCTTTAATAAGTGAAGAAGCACTCACTTATGTAAGAAAACCAAGAAAAGTATCGCTTTTTTATTTCATCTTTTTTGACAAATGTGCATGTATTTGTTAGAAGAATATACAAGAAACACAAAATTGCTACAAACATGTGAGCCCTATAAGTCTAAATTTGAAGGGTACCATTTGTAGTGAACTATACAATACAAATAGCCACTTCAATATTTCCAGGCACAAACAAATTTTATTTGGTTAATCAGGGGGAAATATGCCAGCAACCAATGAAATAACACAATTAAATTGAATTCTACGGACCTTTATATTCAAAGTATGCAAATGAACAATTTTCAGTTTTAGGAAAGGAACGGCAAATATCAAAAAGAAAGGACAAAGAAGTGAAAGGGGTTACCTTAAAGTTAATGTCTGATATTGATGGGAAACCAATATCTTCCAAAATAGCAACCTTAAATTCTTCAAATGCCAGTGTAGAAGCCAGGGTAACCTGAGGGAAAAATTGTTTAATATTTGACATGTTTCAAAAATTTCATACAAGTTTATAAAATCATACCTTCCCCAACTTCATTGCATCCTTTATCCGAGCTTTATCTTCATGATACTGTCCATAAGCAAAAGAACAATGTCAGACATACAGAGTCATCTGCATTGCAGGTTAAATTGTGTTGAGCAATCAAACTCCATTACTAAAATTGTATTGTTAATGTATACATGCATACGACCCATTATAAATTGGCAATGGGCGAAGAGGCCCACGATAATATATACTTTTATGCATGGCAATTAATTCCAGATGTCAGATTCTATACTCAACAACTCACCCCACGTATGGCATGACTGAGCCAAACACGTGGACGAATTATATTGGGTGCGAGGAGCACATGACTGTTACCCTGACATGTGAATTGTCCGCTCTGATACTTACGTAGAAGCTAAAGCATCTAATCAAAAACCAGTAGGCTGGTGGAGAGGTCTAAGATTTATATATTGTTATGCAAGGCCAATAATTCTCGATGTCGGATTCTATTCACAACATTAGCTAAAATAAAGATAATTAATGGATCAAGACATGATGGTATAAGATGCTAGGTAACACACCTGTTTCTCTAATTCTTCAGCAACATCCTCAAACAATTCTTTTGGTGTTGAACCAGAGGTGTTAGATGCAACAGCTTCATACGAAGACAGGTCTTTAACCTACAATCCAAAGACAACACTTATCAAAAGAGCTTCAGATGCAGAAGCAATCAAACATTTGTCTTTTAATTTACTATGCAGCTCTTCTTCATATATTATCTCCACAACAATTAGAGTTGAGCACCTTCATGCAGTAATCGCGCCAGTAAGTTTTAGCTGTAAGAGTACCGTCGGCAACATGTTCTTCCATCAGCTTTCGAAACTCATCGCGGTTTTTCCTCTCAACCCGCCTCAATTGTTCCTTAAATTTAGCAAAACACAAAGATAAGAACATTGAACTAGAAGAAAGATAAATTATCATTTATATGGATTATACCTTCTGTATCTTCTTTTGCTCCTCTTCTTCCTTCTCAAGGTCGCGAATATAGTCCTGCAACAACAATAAAAACATCATATAGTTCTGGTACATGAACACAACCAATCTTCTCACACATGATTGAACATAGATTATGTGATGTACCTGGAAAATGAGCAACCTGTCAAGTTTTTCAAGACGCAAGCATCTCTCATCATCCTCTAAGCGATCTTGAACTTTCCGCCACTGGCTGTTCACCTGCAGATGAATGACGATCATGAAAAAAGGTAATAGATAAAATCAGTCACAATAAAATACACGTACACATTCCTTTTACAAGGCTTACCTTGATAAAGTCACAAGATTCCAGGAATTTTCTATACTCTGCAATATTCTGCTTATGCTCTTCAGCCGCCTTTTCTTTTTCCTGCATATAAGAATCAAAACCCAGGCAGTAAGAATAGGCATCCTCTGTGACATATGAGACCACTAATTTTAATCTGCCCACTCCAAACGAAAATGACAATGGAATACTAATACATGGCAATCAATTCACTCTAAAAGATAAATGTATCTCAGTAGTTTTTTATTGCTTTTGTTTGAGAAAAGAACTCAAAATTGTATTCTTTTCTGTCAGTTTATATTCCCTACAATCTAGGAAGTGTCAACATCTATATGTAAGTAACATGGGCACCCCATGGAGTTTTGTACACCTAAAGGGCAATGAAAATGAGGATACCATTTAAGGCGGTTTTACCAAAGCAAATTCAACAGTTGGAAAATGCAAATTTAAACAAAAATCCACAAAGTGGAGGGAGTTATAACAAGTGGAGAACTGGACAATAAGTGAGACAGCAAGCCAATAAGCCAATACCACCAGTCCAATTTGTGGTTCTTCAACATAATTCATGCTTAAAAGCATGTAGAGCCAATTCTCAATCCTATCTACTCGATACCAAAAATCTTTTAGACTACATCAGGAGTCAAATATAAGGCCCTAATTTACAATATGATATCTACAAATGGTGCATGGCATAAGTCAGAAAATGAAAATTGAAACACAAATTGTTACCTTCCTCTCCAATTCTACAATGTAGCTCTCATAAAGATCTTCCCGGTCCCTCGCTCGTTCTACAGCCTTGAAACGTTCATCATTTTCAAACATACTGACAGCTTTGCTGATCAGGCCAATACATCAGTCAGAACATCTAAAACATTTTGCATGCTTCCCAGTCATAAAATACATATGAAAAGACTAAACTCAAAATCACACTATTCATAGAACAGAGAGGAGCAAACCTCCATCTGGTTGCTGATGTAAGTTCCTTGGACTCCTTCAGAAAAATATCAAAATACAAACATTTTTGTTAAGATCAAGGCATGATGTATTATAAAATTATTAAAGAAAAAAGCAGTCACCAATTATGACTAGAAAGCAACATACTTCCAACATTTTTGAAAATTCTTCCCGAGCTTTTTTCTGCCTCATGCGCCTCTCTTCATTCTCCAGTTTTTTCCTTTGACCCAAGTACTAAATTAATAAATCTCATTAGTTTTAGGTCAGAAATGATGCGAAATATTCTTGATAAAAATCATGAATATTAATCAAGGGGAGAGTCATCGAGCAGTGCACAATTCTAATGAAATAAAAGTAGTCTTGAATATGTGCAAATAAACAAAAGAACGACAAACACTCTAAAGCAGTTAAGAAATCATTAATAAGATTACCTCATTAAATGCTTGCTTCCT